CACCTATAATAAATAGGAGTAGAAGAAGTCAGTAGCTGAGTGAGTTGGTCAGTCAGTCGATGTCGGACGACTGTTAGTCGGATACTAAGAGTATCAGTGACCACAACTAGATTGCTGTGTCATTACCTATCATATTAAGTTCTTAACGTTTTTGTACGTCAAACCTTTTTAGGACCGACTTAGTGAAATACAAGCCCCCACTGTGAAACTACTCTATAACACAATCATATGAAATATCTATATAATATTAAAACACTAATCTAATGTATATACGTTTCCAAGATAAGGCTAACAATCATATGAAATATCTATATAATATTAAAACACTAATCTAATGCATATATGTTTCCAAGATAAGGCTAACAATCATATGAAATATCTATATAATATTAAAACACTAATCTAATGAATACATGTTTCCAAGATAGGTTTAAATGATACATAATACCCCAACCAATTTAGTAGCACATTATACCTTGAACTCCTGCAGAGTGCAGTGCCAAACTTCATTAAAATTAGACAAGAGGTTCTTGAGCTATGGGCATTTACCTGTTTTTATGGCATTTTTAATATGTAATTCAGTATTTATTTACAATACTAAATTTTTACATCAATCTGTGTATATAAGCAAACACTTGTATATTGTATTCTATTATGTATGAAAAATAATAAACATGCCTAATACATTATAACATTAAATAAATTTAAAAATACATGATATATTTATACAATTCACTACATTATAACAATTTTTATAAACAAATATCTTTAATGTTTGGCAAGTACTTGATAGGTGAAGATGCTATGTAGGTGTGTCATTGTAAAATAATCTCAGTGGCTGGAAAATTGTCACATGATTTGATAGTAAATAAATGTTTGCTGCAGTTAGGTATTTTGAAATAAATGTAAGGAAGTAACAAGTAGACATAATAAAAAATTATTAATTTATTATTGCATCATACAAGATAATTATTACAATAACTAGCATTGCAAATACAAATTAAAATATGAAAATTAATAAAATTAATTTAACTTATTTTGTATTGTGGAAATTAAAAAGTTAGTAGGGTTTATGTGTATTTTAGATGATGGTGTGCATTTAATATGTAAACAAAAAGGTAAAAGCATACAAAAACTTGAGTTTCAACAATAGATCATTTGTTCTCTTTGTGGCAACTGTCATGAAAAAAAATTCTCAATGTCTCTTCAGTGTATCAGTGTTCTTTCTGGTCCAGAAGTTAAGGTGGGTAAATATAAGTATTGTATTCATGGTCAAGCTCAAGTCAGCCTTGTGCAGAATTAGAACAACCAAAAGAAAGTTTCTACTTTATCACTGATATTTAAACATAGGGGAATTTCCATTTTCTTTTTGTTGGTCCAGAAGTTAGGGTAAGTTAATATAAGCACCATAACTATGATCACACTCAAGTTAGCTTTGCACAGAGTTGGAACAATCAAAGAGATTGCTTGACCAAATTCATAGGTTGGTTTGGTTTACAGCATATCAACCTCAATGGGTTATTTAATGCAGACAATTTTTATTGCTGGTAATATTTTTGTATATTTTTGTATATTTTCAAAAATTCATTACTGGTAATGATTTTTCTTCAAAAATGTATTACTAATAATAATCTATGCCTGGTAATTATTTACAAAAATGTATTGCTGGTAATAATTTTTTGACAAAAAATGTATTGAAGGGGTTTAAATCCAGTTTTGGGGCTAACCGTTTTCCCATAGTTGGGTCCCTTACAGGTGCTACCATCCTGGGTCAGAGTGGACCTGGGAACACCAGCAATTAAGAGAGAGTTCCACACTCCTCAAAACCTCCTGATCAGAGGCTTTGCTGTTGGATGTAGTTTATCAGCTTACCCAGGACGTGGATGTAGTTTACTGTTATACCCAGGATACTTCATAGGTTGAGGATTTTGGAAGACATATGGGAGTGCTATGCATTGGAAAGTGGACCGAGATACTAACATTCCCCAGTAGGAACTTAATTACCACTTAGCTCAACATCTTGGAGCAATGGGGAGAAAGAGGGTCACGGAGGAAATGCTTGCCTTTTTGTTTTTTTTATTGGATTCAAAACCACTACCTAATGAGATTTGACAAAAAGTGTGGCAATCATATTTCTGGTTCCTTTATTCATCAAGGGAAATTTTTTTTTTTGTTTGTTTTCTATTATTCATTATTATTATTCTATTTATAGATTTTAATTTTCCTACAGTATCATAAACTGCTTTTAAAAAGGAACCTAATGGGTTCATGGGTAGTCTAGGATATTAATAAAGTTGGAAAAAAAAAAAAAAAACGAACAAGGCACAATGGTGAATTCAAGATGATCATCCAAGTGTGCTGGTCATGTACAGTTGATTGGCACAGAAACTGGAAAACTTGAAATTAGTTCAAATAATAATTAAAAGAAAAAAAAGACAAGTTTCATGTCAGCCTAAAGTCCTTGCATGCACACACACACAAATTTAAAGAAAATTAAAATAGAAAACTTACTTCTCCTTTTTTAATGAAGGTCCCATCCTGGGGATTTGTGTATCCAAACAATGCTCGAACCCGAGGTATCTTCTTAATGATGGGCACTTCCTTTTCAACAATTTCTTCTTCTTCTTCTTCAATTACATCCAAGTCCGAATCACTTTGGCCATTCTCTACAAGTTTGCTCAATTTATCAGGTGAAATCTGCAAATATCAAATTGGCATATCAACATCTATATGGGTCAGTTTACAAATATCACTTTGAAAATTCCTTGATATTTACATTGTTCAGTATACTCAGAACATCAAATGGGTAGAGACGAGAGGGAGAATAATTAGGCTGTGTCTAACACAAATCAGATACCCTGTTCATTTTATTTTTATTCGTTTCACTTCAAGCAAAGTGATAATTCCAATAAAACGATGGGGATAAGAGGGAGTAAAAGTGAAGACTGAGAACGGGGAAGATTGAGGAAATAATAAAAAAAGGAACAAGGTTTATGAACACAAAAGACGATGAGTGACTGAATTTAAATTTTTGAAGATTGTATTTACCAGGGAAGCAATAAATTGGGTCTCCCACAGGTGGAAAGTGAGAGAAAAGAAAATGATAGAGCAGAAGTAGTGATTGCATTTAGTTAATAATAAAATGTTGAGATCTAGTTGCCAATTTAGTAACATGCTTAATTACATGTAGTCAGGGCACCAAGGACAAAAGCTCATAAAAAGCAGTTACCATGAAAATGTCTGCAGAAAAGACAGAGGGAAGCCACATCATGCCCAAAAAGACAGAAAATGGTAACTGAACTTGCTTTTAAATTTTTGAAGATCGTAGTTACCAGGGAAGTAAGAAATCGGAAGGGTCTTCTGCAGGTGGGAAGGGTTAAAAAAAAAAAAAAAAAACTTTAAAAACCGAGTAGAAATGGCGGTTGCATCTCGCTAGTTTGATAGTAAAATGCCAGTTGTCAATGTTTGGGCACCATGAAAAAGTTTGTCAGATCAGTTGCCATGAAAATATTTGTGGAACAGATAGAAGTTATGTCATGTTGGTGAGAAAATGACTGAAGTTGAAATGTCTGGTCAAAGATCGATTATATTACAGTTCCATCTCTAGATTTTATCAAGAATCTTAAGATGCACAGCAGGTACACAAAACCTGATATGGCAACAGAATTCAATGCAAGGATGGATGGTAGATTTATAAGTATGCAAGATGGATTCTGACGATAAAGATTTCCTGCCACAACTCAAACCAATTATTTCCTTGCAGCAGATGAAGGAATTGACTACATAGTCACTACACTTCATGTTAGTAAACATGTGTCTCAGAAGGTGTAGTGGTGTGTTGCTCTCCTGGAGTTTAGTTTCAGCCATGCCTATGGCAGGCAGAACCAGTTCTCTCTGGTGATTTGTTTGTTGGGGTCTCACACTGGGTCATTAGTGTCACAGTCTTGGTAGGAGATGGCTAAATTTTATAAGGTCTAGTGTGTGTGTGTGTGTGTGTGTGTGTGTGTGTGTAAGTAATATATTTTTAAAGAAAAACAGACCACTTTAAGCCTTAAACTGGTCTGTTTTTCTTTAAATTATTAGCTCTGAATTTACATTGAGCTCTCAGGATTTCATCCACCTTGGGACTATCTATATGGATTACCAAGATTATATATATATATATATATATATATATATATATATATATATATATATATATATATATGTGTGTGTGTATGTATGTAGAAAATTAGGAAAGAAACATGTTAGGTAAATAATCCGTAGTTCTTTAGTATTTTTGTTTATTTTTAAAAACAGTGCTCCATACAGATGTAGAACTTAGATTATCATATTTTTTCAAAAAAAATTATAATATATATATATATATATATATATATATAAATAAAACATCCTGATAGATGGAATCCCTATAATCTCTTATGCCATTCACTAAACAGAATTACAAATTTTAAATTTGTGTAACATAATCAAAATTGAATCTGCATTCAAGCAGTAACAACATTTATTGAACGAGGGGAACGGCTATAGCCCCTACTTTATTTAATATACTGAACTGCATTGATAATTTAAAATCTTCAGGGTGGATTTTTTTTTCTGTATACAGGAAAACATGAAAAAATATGTGTAGTGTAGACCAAAAGATGTTTTTTTTTAAATATGTTATTTATTGAGTTATATTATTTGAGAATGCGATGCTATGAGAATAGATTTCTTGTTCAAATGAATAAAATGAGACTTTTGTTTGAATTTTTTGATGCAATAAATCCACAAAATTTTGTTATGTATGTTTTTCAGTTGAAGTGGCATGGATCTAGGTTTAATCCAATCAGTAGAGTAAATTGTCTTGGTATTTTTCCACAGAATTTAAGATTCTGAATTTACGTACTGTGGATCTTATTTTTGTAAATATATTAGAGTGTGCAGCTTTTATATTATATCATAACGAAGTAATTTATACAAAGAATTAATTAGCAATGTTAATGAGATTAATAGCAAAATCACTTCACTAACAAGACTTAATGAGACATTAACTTACTATCAATTCTTTGAATAATATGATCCTTTGTGTGTGTGTGTGTGTGTGTATATATGTATATATATATGTATATATATATATATATATATATTATACATATACATCATGAAAGTATTTATATACATATATGTATGGACTAAAAGCAAAATTCAAGAATGAAGTTGCTCTGATTGAAACAAGAGGAATGTATAAGTAAAAATTCAAATTAATTGTATGAAACAATATACTCCTGAATGTCCATCGATTATATCCGCTATGCAAAAGAAATCGGTACATATTTTTGAAGTTTTTAGGTCTCAATCCTCAATCCCCCTCTCACAGATGGGATGTGGCAAACCTCTCACTATTCTATCACTACTTCCATGGAAAGTGCTCAGAAGAACTGCATTCCTTGATTCTGCCAGTTCATGGCTACAATCTGCCATGCCACTCATTGTAGCAAACCATCCTAATTCCATACATGTTCCATTGGTGAGAAGTAAATTCCACTTGAGCACCTTCTTCCCAAGAATCACTGTTCTGTGGAACTGACTCCCAAAAGGATGTTTCCCCAACTACTACAATCTTAAGTCTTCGGTTAACAACTATTTTCCCTCCCTACCCACATAAACTGTCTCTTACTCTGTACTCTACCTCGTGTGGTCCCAAATCCTTGTACAGGGTGACCCTCACCGTAAAAAAAAGGCCAGCATCAAAGTTATAAAATAAAAAATATAAAAAAATAATAATAAATAAATAAAAACTAAAAGTCAGTTCTCTATTAGAAATTTTTAAATATTAAAGGAATTATAGAATTACTTGATCTAAATAATTTGGGAATAGTTCCTGGAAGGGTAACCATTCGAAGTTCTGAATAAATGCTTATTAGGCAAAATTAGGCAATTTGATTTCTAGAAATTCAGTTATAAAAAGGTTGTCATAAATGTAAAAAAAATCTTACATTGTGTTCACTTGCAGCTTTGGTCATTAGAACAGATAATTCTCGAAGACGTTCAACTTCATTGTTGAAGGCATCAATTTCTTTCACAATTCTCTGGTGTCGGTTTAGAAGCGCCTACAACAGAAAATCCATTTCTCAAAGTGTAACATGCTTGTAAAATATGGCAATTTAAGATTTAAATGTGTAACAATTATTTTATATTAATTTCTTCTGTTGTTTTGCACACAGAAACAAACATTAACAATGACAAAGGGAAAATAAACTTATAATGAATCATGGCATTCTTTACTAAAGGCCAAGTCATAGTGCAATTCATCCCAATACTAGTGGATTATAGTGTTAGTTTGTGAATTTGGTGAGACAGTAATTGTGAGTTCAATCACTGGGTAGGCAGTATGTACTTGAACTCATTAGAAACAGGGCAGAGCAGTACAAAAAATAAGAACAAGATGGGATATCTTTAGACATGTGCAGTAGAATGAGAACAGTCTATCTCTATAGATTAAATAAAGGGTTCAGTTTTGAATTCCCTGTAAGTTAGCTGGATGAACATACACTTGATGTGGGCACAATGGCCAAAATGTTATGATAAAAACAACAAAGATTAAGAAAATAAAATCATGTAAATAATGTAAACCCCACATTTCAGAAATTCAAACAGATTTTAAGCTTTATGTTGTATGAGAAAAAAAAACAGTATAACCAATTCTAGACTGCAAAACTTCAAAGGTGTGATGATTAATTTTAATAAAACACACATTGTCTTCAGTCGACTGAAAATATAAATAAAAATAGAAAGAAAACCTTGAAGGAATCTTTTTCTGTCAGTTATGTCAAAATAAGTAGACAAAAATCATGCACTATTGTCCTCATCTTCATTGTTATCACCAACAACATCAAGGATGACAGTATAAATGTAAATAACAATATCTCATCCCAGAAATTCAGAGAAACATAATGAATTAAAATATAAGAAAAGTTTACCTTAGCACCTGTTTCATCTCGTCCATAGTCATCACTACGAACGACAGTCATCTTTTCTTTCATCCAAGATTCTGCATCATTTGAATCCGCATAGAACTAGATTAAAACAAAAGTTTAATGTTATTTTAAAGTTCATTTTAATCAGATCTATTTTCTTATGTTGATAAATTAAATACATAAGTATGAAAATTCAAAAGGATTACAAAAAATTTGCTCAACAATTTACAGTGCTCTCTCTCTCTCTCTCTGTATATATATATATATATATATATTAAAATAAGAACAGTAAGATTTACAATCCAGTGTTCTTAGTAATTATTTTTATTTTAAAAAAAAGATTGTGCTCAATGCATAAACTGTAGAGCATAATATTATAATTATTTACTATTTTAATTATTTCCCAAAATTGTTTGAGAATGGAATGGAGCTATGGATTTTAAATTTAAAATTTTAGTTTCTGTTTTGGAACATGGTAAATCCTTTGTAGTGATGGGACCATATTTTTAAAATAGTATATATATATATATATATATATATATATATATATATATATAATATATATATATATATATATATATATATATATATATATATAGTGTCCATAAAGTTAGTGTGCACTTTTAAGTTATAACTCTTTAAAAGTGCACACAAACTCTATGGACACCTGTATGTCTATATATATATAAAATTCATTGAAATGAGAAAGAAAATCAAGAATTAAAACCAACATTACTTACAAAATAATGCTATTATATGCATAATACAATTTTTACTAATTTTTACTCTGTAACCACCACTACCTAGAATGGCTCTTGGGCCTTGTACACAGTTAACATCATTATAAATTTGAAAAAAAAAAACAAAAAAAAAACGGTACTGTTAGTTTTTAAGAATTAATGTAAGAATTACTGATTGAATATAAGTTATGTGCTTAACATATTTACCTGTTGAGCTTCAATGGTATCTTCCAAAAGGAGTCTTCGCACACTGATTAATTCTTTTAGATGTTCCCACTTCTGAAGGACATTCTTTAGGAGTTTCTCTTGTCCTAACTGCTTTCCTGTGGCCTGAAGCTGACTAATACGTTGCTTGTGACCATTAACTTCAGCTTCCTGGGCCTATAAAAAAATATAAAATAAATAAATTGATCCAAAATAAGTTATTCTGGAACATTAACAACAATGGAATAAATGGATTATTGATTAAAATTCCTGTTAGATGAAGTTCATTATGTATGCAGACACATGCTAAGAGTAAAAAGGGAGATGTGGTTTTATCTTGATCTCAAGTGTTTGTTGGAAACTAGCAGGTGATTCTTTTTTAAACTCATTTTTTTTTTTAAGCAGCATCAACTTTGATCAAAGAGAAAACAGGAAAGTAAAGGAGGAGAGGAAGTTTTTTTTGGAGATCAAGTGACAACAAACCAGACAGATTATTTCAGGGTACTGGTCTATTAACAGTCAGGCTTGTGATCTGGTCCGCCCTTGGTGGGAGAGGGACTTGTCCATTTTTATGGTTCCGATTTCACCTATTTATATTGCAAGCCACATGTTGGGATGAGGAGTAGGATCAGATTATGACCTTTTGGGGCTCTAGGCTGATGAAATTATGAGGCCACTCTCAGATGAAGTCGCCTTCATCCATCTGAACATTTTTATCTCTGGATATATTTTAGTGACCTTTACATAGCTTGAAGTAAACTTATTGCAAATTGTTTAAATAAACTACAACAGCTATCTCTTGTTTTTCAATAAAAATATTCTTTAAGAAATACTATTTTACTGTTTATTACAAACCAAGTTAGCAACCTAGTAAATTAAGCGCCATTTGTGATACATGCTTGGGTAATAATGACTTGATTCCTGATTGACTAGGCAGAAGATTTTCTCACAGTAGGTTTCTATTTCTTTCTGTAATAGAATGGCTGCCAACCAAGGCTATAAAACAGTCTGCCCTGCTATTTGACCCATAGCTGAGGGAAAGATGTATTCATACCTTTCCCAAAGGGTATTTGGGCATAAGTGATTGTAATGAACCCAACTGGAGTTTGAACTCAGCTCTGATTTTTCATTCAGAGCTATTTTTCATTATACCACAATGCACTGAACAATCAGGGATGTGAGGCTCACCCTGGCAAGGAGGTTCCTAACTAGCATCCAGTTGGCAGACAAAAATAAAATGAGTTGTAATTATACATATTCCCAGAGATTCATGGTATACTGATGGATATTTATTGAGTACAGAATCCACACCAGAATCAGCATCCAATCAGGACTCACAGAATAGGCTTGCCTGGGTATCAGAATGGAATCTCCCAGGCTACCATATAAAGCACCTAGAAACTTGAACAGGGTAACAGTTTCGTCAGTCAGGCTCAACTTCCATCTGCCTGTTGCTACTACCAAATTCCACACCTGCTCAGTAAGACTCAACTTCTATTACAGTAGAGTATTATTTTTTGCCACTACCAAACTTTACATACACATGCTTGTATTGAAGTTTTTTTTTTTTATAACCAAGCCTGTGTGGTCCTATGCTACAGCCTATACTAGCTTATAGGATAATCTGGACCTGGCAAGCTGAGAACAGCTAATCTGTGAAATCAATATAGAAGTTGTCTAAAGTGTTATATACCTACCGACTTGGGTAAAAAACAGCAGAGAATAAAACATCTACATACATGGGGAAACAGGATTTTCATTCTTATTTATCAACATGGTGTTTGTCTTTTATCTTGTTACCTTGTGAACATGCAGCAGGCCCTTTCCTAGCTTTCAGTACACAGACAAGATTAAGACTCAAAATGCAACACTGATAGGTCAGTGGATAGTTTGGTTACACTATACTTATGACAATTAGTCATTGCTAGTTTTATACTGTAATAAATGAATGAAAACACAAGATAATGAAGACTTAATTAAAATAAATGTAATTTACTTCATGTTTCTTCATACTGTGCAGTGCTGCTTTAAGGTCTTTGCCGATGTTTTTAGATCCCATGATTGTGATTTTATCATTGATCCATTGCTCTTCCTCAGCAAGGTCCTGCAAGAATTGGAAGTACCAAAGAGATTTCTCAAGAGAAGCCTGCTTGTCAGCACAAAGTTTTTGCACCCTGAAAAAGAAAAACATCTTAATAAACTTATACAGTACAAAATATATATTCATAGGTTTTTCAAACTTGGATCTTTGTGCCCACAAGAAAAAAAAAAAAAAAAAAAAAAAAAAAGTGTCAAAAGGATGGTTTTTCCATTGACACTTATTTTAACTATTTTCACTTCTCAACAATATTTGTTTTAAAAAGCAATGATTAGAATTGCAACATAACCTAAACATATGAGAGTGAATTTAGACATTTTGCTCGAGAAAAAAACTATTAGATTGTTTATTTACAAGAATTTTATATTTAAAATATACTAACAATTAATACAATTAAAACTAATGCAATATTTATCATTTACTAATTTATAAAGAAATAAATATGAAAATAATTTTTTATTCAGAAATATTTACTAAATTAAAAAAAATATGAACGAACTAAAAGGAAATCCTTATTAACCATTTTATAAAATTTGAATAATTTTGGCAATTATCCAGTGTTTTGCAAACCATTCCAATAGACAATCTAATAGTGTAAATAAACAATCAAATAGTGTTTATTCTTTTATTAATTCTCAAAAACAAAGAAAATGTATAAATTCACTTTCATGTGTTTAGGTTTTATAACAATTTTAATCATTGCTTTTTAAAACAAACATTGCCGAGGAGTGAAATTACTTAAAATAATAGTGGTGTCAAGGGAACAAACATTCCTTTAGATCCTCCATTTCTTTTTGTAGGTACAAAAAGTCCAAAAGCACTGGTTTGTCTTTATTGAAATCAAGCATCCAATCTTTAGAAAAGTTTTGGAAGAAACTGTCTTCAGAAGATTTACTAAAAAAAAAAAAAAGTAGCACCCCCCCCCCTATTTTTTTTTTTTTACAAACCACATCACTTAGTGATCTACCCTTGTATCATCAGACACTCATTTTTCAAGATTCAATGATATTGGCATTTTCTTCACTTCTAAAAGCCCAACTAAAGTTATATTCTTAAATTGCTTTGTCAGGTCAAGTTTTTCATATGGATGTCAAGATAGAGCCAAGCACATTCAAAAATATCTAAACTGTCAGCTGTACAAAGCCACTATCTCAGCCCAATGGTTAAAAAATGTCTTTGAGCAAATGAAACCTGTAGGTGTTCTAGAGGATCAAACTTGTAGAAAGCTCATTAACTGGAGCCAAGAACTTTATCAAATAACTGAAGCAACATCACTTTATGACTTTCAACAGCAAAAACTAAAATTATGATATAATTCAATCGAGATATTGATGTTCTACACTACAAAAGTTTAGGACAGCAGTGCCCTTCAATAGTGGATAGAGCAATAACTAAACTTGAAAAACCTATTTTCATGAAAAATTGTTCTAATAGAAAGATTTCAATTTCAACCAACAGTAGCACTGGCTGCTTAGCCAACGAATGCCCAATATTCCCTTATAGGGAAATGGTTAATATAAAATATTAACATGAAATGTGAAGAATAGATACTACACTTTGAAAATAAGCATAACTCTGGCTGTTTTGTCAATGAATACTGAATGTTTCTTTATAAGGAAACAGTTAATATTACCATTACATCCATTGCTCAATCCAACAAAAGGGAAGTATAGATATACTTACATTTTTAATTTTTTGTTGATTTCATTTGTGTGTTTAGTGAGGACACCCTCTTTTGGGTTTTGCTTTTCCAACCCCATCAGCTTTTTGTCAAGGTTTTCAATTCTTTTGGAAAGAACATTAATTTGTGTGTGGACCAATCCAGTTTTCTGAAGAGTGTCTTCGACTGCCTGCAGATGTTTGAGTGGAACTTCTGCTCGCAAAGCCATCTGCGAAAAAACAAAGAAAAAAAAGAGTCAGTTTTCTAACAAACTGATTTCATGCTCATATACCAGCAAAAAGCAATTTTTTTTTTTTACAATGATGCATCAAAACAGTAAAGACATTTCTGAGCAAGAAATTTAACTAATGAATTCACTTTATGAAAAGTCTTTCTCAAGTTGAAATTGTGATATGTAATAATGAAAAATCTCAGATGGGAAATTCTTCTACGCAAGGTAAATTCTTCAGATTTATCACTTTCTGATTACCACTTATTTTAATCCAGGCAACATTCCTTTAAATTCCAAGTTTAAGATACAGAAAAAAAAAATCCATATAACTAAAATTCTTTTGAGATTATATATATATATATATATATATATATATATATATATATATATATATACACACACACACACACACACACACAGACAGAAAATCCAAAATTTTATTAATCTAAACATTTTTAGTGGATACCCATATTTGAGTAGACTACATTTATTTTAAACAGTATTTTGTCTAAAGAAGGGCACATTTTTCTTTAATAATATTTCTTAACTATTCAGGCCAGTAGATGAAATAAAATATTATTTAAAACAAATAGATTGAGCCCTTCGATCATTGGCGTGTCTATTCAAAGAATAAGTATGTAAAAATCAGCCTTCCTCTCTACTGGATGCTGATAGCTCAGAGGTAAAATCTCCAAATGATGCCAAATCAGTCAGGTTTTGCTCCCAGCTTAAGGTAATTGGATGTCTAGCCACATTGAACAGCAAAACTGTTTGTGGATGACAATATGGTGTGATGGTTAAATTCCCAACTAAATTATGCAAAAATTAAAATAGCTTTGACATCTCATTTTAACAGATATATTTACCAAAACTACACAAAAATATCTTTAAACACTAATGAGTAAATTTATTCAATAAAATAACCATTGGCTTCAACCATGGCCTAAAAATGACTGAAATCTCCTGCAACTCTTCTGGACAGTTTCCTTGTTCAAGTTGGTGAATGCTGCCATAATCCTTGCCTTCAGTTTGCCTTTGGTGTTACAAGAAGTTTTTTTAGTCTCTTACTCAACTGTGCCCCACACATAATAATCAAGGAGGTTGCTATCTGGGGAGATAGGCAGCCAGATGTGATGGGTGATATGGTTGCAGAAATTGTCTGACAGCTATGACTGGATTCTCCTGCAGCCACCCTCTTTAGCCAGGGCAGAACTACATCCTCAAGGCACTTTATGTAGGCACCCATGTTGAGTCTGAGGTCCTGTTGGAAGATGAATAGAGGCATAATGTTGTCATCACTAATAATCAATTTAAACACCATTGTAATCACTATTAGACTCATCCAACTCTTTCTGAATCCTCAGCACTGTCCCCAGATTGTGACCAAAACACCCTGAAAAGTTCATATTGGAACTTCTGGTGCAGATGTCAAACAGTACAGCATGCAATTTCCAAATTTCTGGTGGAGTGAATTGCATCATGGTGGGTTTTTTTCTCACAGATGGTGACCAACTGACATGCAAAATTAAAAAAAAAAGAAAAAAAAAAAAAAAAATCACACACTATACTTACCTCACATTCAGCAAGTTCTTCATCAATACTACCAATCTCTCTCAGGGCGACCATCAAACCCTCCATTGTAGTCAGTTTATTCTTTCGCTCATTGAGCAACGCTAACAATTTCTTCCATTCTTGACTCAGGGTTTCATTTCTATACAAATTGAAAAGATTAATTAATACAAAAGATAAAAAAAAAAAAATCAAATGTATAAAAATGTTTATAATCTTTGACATTTCAAGTGAAATGGAATGAAATGATACCAAGTTCAAATCCCAGTTTTGATGCTGCTTCTGCTTGTTCCAGTAATCCTGAAAAACAGATTTCACTGCTTGACTCAGGGATGGAACTCAACTACTGGATAAACATTGAAGCAATACTTATGTACACGAGACTACTGGCCCATAATGTTATGTCCATAACAGACAAGGAGATTTAATGATTAGCTATTTCAATAATTAAATGTGTAAGGTTTATTACAGGAACATATTGTAGTACATGAAATAATGGTGGTGAAAAAGAGTACATACACAAAATAACAGATTAATTGATTTGCAATGAAAGATAACATTTATGAAACAAATTAACAAAAGGAAAGTTTAAAACTAATTTCTTTTGTTAGACATAAATTGTATACACAACAAAATGTTCATGATTATATTATAGTGGGAACTCTGTGTTTTTAAGTGAAAGGTTCACAGCCCTTTTAGCTTCAGTCTGGAAAGTTCATGACACTGCTGCTGCTAAGTTTTATTTTAGAGCTGCTACTGCTACTATATATAAGGTCACCACAGAGAAAAGGCTTATTTGAGTCTTGTTTGACCAGTGAGAAAGACTAAGACATAGTTAAATGGATAACAAATACTCATATGTGTTGCAAGCTACATCTTTTATTTTTCTCCTGTCCCATCCAGAAGTGTTGCCCCCATAGAACTTTACCTCAAAGAAGTTAATTATATAAACACTGAATGCTTAATATATGTATACATATACAACACATAGGACAAAGTATTGATTAATTTTTGTATGGCTTATCAACACTTTGCAGGTCATTTAACTTTTACCACACTGGAGGCAAAAATTGTTTCCGTAGAAATCTCCCCCTTTGCAGCTCTAGGTGTAATCCGTCGCCTTGAGATGGTTGTTATAAATAATAACTTGTCAACTGTTATTTCCATTATTTTAAGCTGGAAATTGCCTACTACTACTTTGGAACAAGGTTAAACTTACATTTTCCAACACCATTTTGAACTTTCTAGACTCTACATGAAGTGTAACATCGATTAAACCCATGTTAATTTTTTCAGTATTTTTGTAAACAAAGATGGCTGCATCAACATACAAAGCCTTTATTCAGGAGTTTTTCTTTGATAGGACAGATGATTTTGAAGGTTTTATCGAAATGGATACTGACAGTGAAGTGGTCGAAGACAATAATCACGTGTCACCACGTGGAGGAAAGCAATGATGACCACTAGCGGCTACTATCATACATGGCTGACTAATTTTATGGAAGCTACTGGCGACCATCAATGTACCTGATAGCCTTTCTGAAGGTGAATTATGCTGTGTTTATAGATAAATGATGAAATAACTTTATATAAATATGCTCATCAGGTGAAAGATAAAACAAATGCTGGAGTCTTCTCGTATGTAAACATGAGGAAGCACATCACTTTTTTTGACTAAATGAAATCCTTCTTGGCTAATTTGCTTCTTATTGCACCCCAGAACTCCACAAGGAGTAAGAAACGTTAAAATATGTTAAATTGCCAATATGTATATGTTTTTTTTATTTTGTGTTTCAATTTTGTTTCAAATGTCAAAACCTGCATGCAAAACATAATGCATTATTTCAAAATATTACTTATTCATTCTTTTATTAGTATACAAAAATAAAATCTATACACACAATACAAAGAAAGTAGCAATTTTAACAAAGTTGTAAATTTTAAAACAGTAGGTGTTGAGGTTTTTGCACCCTCAAAAAAAAAAAAAAAAAAAAAAAAAAAAACAGTGGTTAGGGGAACAATTTTAGAAAGAAATTAGCGTGTTAAAAGTTAAAGCTAGGAAATATGTTTAGGTTGTAACTGTTTTTGGAGATAAAAATTTAGTAATCTCAGTCTTAGCTGGGGGGAAGAGATAGATTCATACCTTTTCTAAGGGCATTTGTGCATAAGTGAATACAACAAACCCAGCAGGTATTGGAACTGATCTCCAATTAACACTTATGAGTCACTTTCCATTATACCACCTGCAAATCATGCTACCAGAACCTGGTATTTCCAAGTAGTCACCGAGCTGATTTTGTTTAACTTTGGTGATCATATGGGAACCAGTGTTTCAAAGCTACATGGCCATAAATCATAGAATACAGTAAAGGATAAATAATGTTACTATGAAATGTCCACAACACAATATGAACAGGTCTATACCTGTTAACTGAATAAAGAGTTTAGTTGAACATTCCAAAATTGCTACCAAATAAAACAGACATCTGAAGACAGACTTGTTTAAATTTGAGATAATCATAATGCACTGATTCACTTGAACTAGTATGCTCATCTTAGTTGTTAGAGTGACAACATTGTAGCCTTTTTGAAAGAGGTAACCATAAAATGCTTCCTTAATGTGGAAAGGGTCCAAGCTTTTAAAAAATAAAAAAAAAATAAAAAAATAATGCTTATATGTTGAGGTTACCAATATCTACACTAAGAATAAAATTTATCAGCAAACTTTATTGCAACATGTCATGTTATTAGTTAATATCTTATTGTAGCTCATCTGTAGTTTTAATCAGAGTACATATAGATTCTGGTACTAGCTATTAAATCAGCAATCTTGTGGAAATTTGGAAATAAATCCTCTGCAGGTAAGTGGTAGAAGGATGAAAGTTCCATGTCCAATAAATGAAAAGCCCAATATGTGAATCACAAATTGGAGGCACTAAAGTACAACAATTTAAATATCTCAGAAGTGTTTTAACAGAGAATGGAAAATGCAATAGCAAAATCTGAAGGTGCCTTGTAATAGAGAAAGATGCCTTCTAAAAGGTAAGCAAAGTATTAAGAAATAGAAAAATTTTGTTAGAAACAAAGAGTATGGAACTGTTGCATAATATTCCTCTATGGCAGTGAATGCTGGACAATCTCATCACAGATTAAAAGACTTGAAGCAGAAGAAATGCGGTTCTACAGAAGGATGCAGAGAATACTATGGATTGAACAGGTAAGTAACAACAAAGTTTTATATAAAATGGAAACAAAAAAAGAATCAAGAGGCAATTTCTAAGGCACATAATGAGGAAAGAAGGCCTGGTTAGTTAGATTTTGTTTACAGCCTGTCAACCCTGATGGGTCATTTTGCACCAACAAGGTGACTATATATATTATACATATAAACATTTTTCTTTGCTCCAGTGATTGGAGGAGTTCAGTTTGTTACCTACAATTCATTTTAAGTAGTTTGTTTCATGTGTCAATTTTAAATGTTTAAACCAGTCCTTATGAACAATTTTTAAAAAGGTATTTAAAAATTCCTATTTCTTTTAGAAACTCTTATCTAGCCAGGGACAACATCTTTGAACAATGTTTTTATATCTGTGACATTGCAGTATTCACTATAGATGTTCATATAGGTTTTACATTTAATCAGAATGTGCTTAACTGTCAATCTATGGGTACATCCTCAGTTCTTAGATGCACATGAACATGTAAATGGTTGGCAGAACAAAGATTAGGAAAGACAGCAAAAAGAAACACTTCTAAGAGCTACAAAATGTAGAAAGTTGTGGAGAACCATGGTTGCCAATGTCCTGAAGGAAGATGGCATATAGAAGAAAAAAAAGATGTTTCCAACACAGTTATACTCAAAACTGAATAGTTTGTTGCAAAATGATGTTTGTATTTGAGATTCTTTCCTAACATACTGTAATCTGTTTTATACTGAGACTTGTTAATGGCATACAAAGTAATCACAGTTAATTACTTGTCACTCCTTGACAATGACAGTTTCAAATACGACAATTGACAATGGCTGACTTAAAAATCTCAGACTGCCATTTTATAGACTTTAGAATGTTTAATGGCATCTGCTCTGTAATAACAGCAGTATCAGAGATTTGGCTCCCTGTGCCATGCCAGGAAATTTTTCTCCCTGGAATCGATCCGTCAGATCTACAAATCAACAATTCACCCTTGTATGGAGTATTGCTGCCATATATGGTCTGGAGCCCCTACTGTTTGCCTCGGGGTTCTTAAGATCCAGAGGCGGATATGCAATATAATTGGCCCTGTTCTGGCATCTTGTCTACAGTCGAACTCTCACAGACGTGCCTCTGTCTTTTTTACAAATACTTTCATGGTAATTGCTCCGAGGAGCTGCATTCGCTGGTTACCAGACTTCATGAATTCAAGCACCCTACAAGGCTGGCATCCCACTTTCACTGTCAAAAGTTAAATGTAGCTGTTTCTTCTACTCCAACAGCTTCATATCTCACACCTCTGTGGAACTTCCTTCCCTATTCCAGTTTCCCTGAGAGCTATAATCTCCAACTATTCAAATGTAATGTCAATCGACATCTCCAGTTGCCTTGATCTATCCTCTATCCTTCTCCCCATCCTTCCCTCTATCACTCCTATCTGATCTTCCTCCAAATCTTCTGTAACCCCTTGTGTCCTAGTGGCTTCCCGCCTTGCTTGGGGTGAATCGCTTAATAAAAAAAAACTCCACACATGATAAATTTAATTTTTCTACTTAATAAACATTATTTTAAGATAAGAGCATGATATTTTTTTTGTATCAAAGTATAATTTTGTCATTGTGGTTATATAATTTTTGTTAACTGTCCTCTATACTATGTATTCCTAGATTATGAATTTAAGCATTAGCGGCAAGGTTTCACCATTTTACAATTGAAATTACTAGATGTCACAAGCCTCTGACTGTTCTATAACTATTTTCATGGGAAGCGGTCAAATAACTACATTCTTTAGTTCCATCACTTCTAACTTTCACAGCTCAGATCCACCATGCTATGCACATTGTAATGAATCACCCTCATTTGCAAAATCTAAGTTCTACTTGAGCAGTTTTTTCTCACAAACTACCACTTTAGGGAACCAACTCCCAAAGGATGCTTCCCTGATTATTACAATGTTGACCTGTTCAAATCTAAGTTTAACTTATCTTCCCCATATATCTGCGTAAACTGTGCCTCTTACTTTGTAACACTACCTTGATGGGCTCCTGGGCCTTGTACAGAGTGAACAGAATATATATATATATATATAAAAATTGTGAGTTCTATGTGAACAGTTTTTCCTCTCATTCTTCACTTGTGGAACTGTCTTCAAGATTCTTGCTTTTCATTCAAGTTTAATCTAAAATTTAAAGGTAACGTAAATCATTTTCTATATTCTTAATTTGTTCTTTTATAGTTCACACTCTTTAATGTTTTTCTTTTAATTATATTCTTTTGAACTCTTGCATCTTAATGACTTTGTTGCATTTCATACCTGTACATTTAATAAATGCTTCTAAAAATGCCAGGATGAATTTAATCAAAGCTTTTCTCTATTCTGTTAACATTAAAGTCCTTGATAATGACTTGTGATGATCGAAGACACAAATACATTATGAACTTTGGACAGTTTATTTATATAAGTCTGATTTGGATGCAGAATTACTTCTATACAACCATGTAATAAAAAATTAAACTGGCTAATTTCATAAAATTAAAAAATTAATTGGCTAATGTAATAAAAATTAAAGTGGCTACATTTACATTAATGTTTTTTGTTTTAATAATAATGTTTTAACTATAGACATGTTTAGTTTTGTATTAGTAAAATGTGCTACTTATTGAAGTGATAATAGTTCCTTTGATGCTTTAAGTTAAATGCTCAAAAGAAAAAAATGCATACAACAGCTGCCCAAGAAGAAGCCAATACTATCTGTGGATCGAGACCAATATCACATTTCACTATCATATTCAGACCAAATGTATGTGTGTGCGTGTGTGGAGGGGGGGAAATTTAGACCATTTTTCTTCAGAAAATAAAGATGTATAAATCTTTTAGAAGATTGAAAACTTGGTTTCATGTTTTCCACTGACATCAAGTGGAATGATTATATTAAATCAATTGCTTGGTCTGTTGCTAAGTAGGCTGGTTCACTGTATCATGACAGTTTATTTTTGTCAGAATCCATCTTACACATTTTAGATGTAATTATAAGTTCTATTCTAATATTTTCTTTTTTTCTTGCACTTCTCACCTGTGAACTTCCCTGCCAACTACAATCTTCAAAAATTTAAATGCAGCACTAATTGCTATCTGCTCTCTTCCTGAATCCTGTTCTTTTGACTTTCTCTTTACTAAAGTCTTCTCATTGCCTTCTACTCCCAGTAACCCCTTGAGTCATAGTGGCAGGAATTTAGCATCTTCATAATGAAGTTGTTTAATATCATGAGGTATTGCTGTAGTACCTTTGGGTAATGCTATTTAAGCTCCTAAACCATGCCAGTATTCACAGCAATGGCTGCATGAACACATTTGATACTGTGGATTGTACTTACCTCTTTCTGATTGTTTCTTTATCATAATAATTTTCACGTATTAGTACTTCAGCCAACTCATTCACTCGACTGAATCGATCACGCTGGAAACAAAAAAATATTACCTAAATTTTTGAAAAACAAATTGCCTTATTTATGACAAAAGTATTTTATAGTAACCTACATATAAAATTAAAAAAAAACAGGTTAAATATTAGTCATAGTACCTTTTTAACAAGTTTGATAGTAGCTTTCATTTTCATTGAAGAGCATAGTTTTACTATACAAATATAATTAATAATGAATCCATGAATAGTAAGAGAAAATAATTTATTAAGCTTATTCTGCTACAGAAGGAAATGGACATTAGTGAGAATTCCTACTAAATCTTTCCATGTGTCAAGTTATACCGAGTAATATTTTGTCTCCATTTTAGACGATACAAAATGTTTTGATTGAGGATTTATTGTTTCAGTAGAAATTCACACTTTTTTTTTTAAGAGACAAAAGATGACAGACTGGTGGATCATTATGATGAAAATCAAGATTCTGCTATAAAAAAGTTGTGTAGTACACTATAGAACCAATATTATAAAAATCATTTCAAAACAATAAGTCATCTAGAAGCAAGAGAGATGTAGTTTTACAGAAGAATGTTGAGAATACCATTGGCAGAGCATGTAAATAACAGTTTAAAGAGAAAGGAGAAGAAAAAGAGGGTAAAAGAAAAAGGGAAAGAACAAAAAGAAAAAAAAAAGAAGATAGGGAAAAGAAGTGGAGGAGAGAGAGGAAGAAAAAAATGACAAGAGAAAGCAAGAGAAAAGAATAATGAAAAAGAGGCTGGAGAGAGAGAGGCGGAGAAATAGAGAGGGGGAAAAAAAGAATAAAGAGAGGGGGAAAAAAAGAATAAAGAGAAGGGGAAAAAAAGAATAAAGAGAGGGGGAAAAGAATAAAGAAAGAATAAAGGGGAAAAGAATAAAGAGAGGGGGGGGGGGAAAAAATAAAAAAAAAGAATAAAGGGGGGAAAAAAGAATAAAGAGAGGGGAAAAAAAGAATAAAGAGAGGGGAAAAAAAGAATAAAGAGAGGGGAAAAAAAGAATAAAGAGAGGGGAAAAAAAGAATAAAGAGAGGGAAAAAAAAGAATAAAGAGAGGGGAAAAAAAAGAATAAAGAGAGGGGAAAAAAAGAGAGGAGAAAAAAAGAGAGGGGAAAAAGAATAAAGAGAGGGGAAAAAAAGAATAAAGAGAAAAGAGAAAAATGAGAAAAAAGGAAAAAAAGTGAAGGGAAAAAAAGAAATAAAGATAAAAGTAAAAAAAAATAAAGACATTAAAAAACAAAGTAACAATACTTGACATCAGGAAAAATTGAAGGTTTTTTGGACACAAGGAACAAGGTCTTTAAGAATTTTACCCTAGCAGGACATAGTGAATGCAATAGTAAGAAAGGGAAACATTAAGCCTTCTACTTAATAGGTCTATAAAATGGGTGGCAGAACAAAGTGATAAGACAACCATTTCTGAGAACTGCAAAACAGATACAGTACATTAAAACCAAGAACAAATAATACTAGATTTTGAAGTTTTCAAGATTTATTAAATAAAAAGGGAATTTTTTTTTTTTTTTAAGTTCTGGAGAGATGAGCAAAGAGATAAGTCATATCTACACATTAATTTATTTGTATAGATTCAGCAGAGTTCTTAGCATTTGATAAATTCAAATTTCGTTTGTAGAAGTTTTGTTTTGTTTATATATTTTCACTTTACAGTTCATCATCCCACTGTGAACCAATGATAATGTGTCTCAAGGCAAGATACAGCCTTTTACATTCAGTCAAATCACTAAACGGAGATCTTTGTGAGCATCTATCCCTGTGGTGCAGCCATCTTAATGTGGAACACAGGGTCATACTCAGCCCTACAGAATCCTTCGCCCTGGGTCCAGTGATGCCTGTCTCTTCTATTCCTGCCTAAATCTCCAAACAACTGTTGATCACTGCAGAGCCAACCTTCAGAAAGTTAACCCAAATCTTGAAAAACTTATGCAGACTTAAAGACCTTGAAACTGTAACACCCCAGGCAAGGCACTCTGTGCAACACTGAATGGGTGTGGTGTAGCAACTTCATAAAACTTGACAGTTGATTGAATCCATAAATATAAAACCTGTTGATATGAATGACCAACTGAGTTTTAGTTGCGTGCTAAGTTCTTTTATTCCTAATTTTTTGTAGTTTTACTTGACAGGACAAGAAGTGAAACAGGTTTTAAAATTTTAAATTAAAAAAAAAAAAAAAAAAAAATGAATGAATGAATAAATTACCCCAGCTAAAATTTCTGCACTGATTGCCCCATGTTTCTTCATTGCAGCTTCTGTTGTACTGGCATCGTTACATTCTGTTTCTTCAGCAAGAATCTGGTTCATATCCACCAACCAAGACTCACGAATGTCTGCCTAGAAAGAAAAGGAAAAAAAACAATGTTCATACTCAGATATACTGACATAAAAAAATTCAAAAATAAATTGTTTTAACATGCATTCAGAGTTGAAAATCTGAATTAAACCCAATTATTTTTTTCTTTCATCATTTCACCTCAAGCAAGGCAATAAAACCACTATGATGCAAAGTGTTACTGATTGAAAGAATGAGAAAAAAAAAAATTACATTAAAAAGGAGAGAGAACAAAAGAACAGGTATATATATATATATATATATATATTACATACACATACACGCACACTAGCAGCATGGCCCGGTGTTGCCGGTGCTTGATTAAAAAATCATACGAAACATACAGCAATCGTTATCACTTGACTTAAAATATTTTTGCCCTTCCTTGTCTTTAAAGGAGTGCCCTTTGCTGTGCTGATGTTGCTACATGCCTTACTTCTTGCCTATCTCACACTGCAAATTTTTTCTAAGCTATATACTAAACATTAAATCTGTAAAAAAAAAAAAAAACGAACACAAAACGATCAGCTTTAAAAAAGGACTCGTAACTAGAAGAACCGAATGAAAAAAGAATGTTAAATACTTTTTCACACCCAACCCAGTTTTGTGGAATCAGAATCAACGTTCAGTTTAAGCAAGTGAATGAGCCAATTAGAGTAAAGTGCCATGCAGATTTAAATTTTTCCCCACTTGTGACGAATGCAGCTATCGATTCTTTTTGCATGCTAGCTAACATTTGTGTCAGTCAGCTGTTGGCTCTCACGCTGGCCAGTACAAAATGGCCACAAACTACATGAAAACTGCCGTAGAAGCATGAAAAAAAAAAATAAAATAAAAAAAAAATAATAATAATAAAAAAAAAAATCGATTATTTCCACTATCGATGGGAGTTGGGAAATGCAAAGTCAGTCTTGGCCTTCCCACTAACATGCATGTAAATTTTGGTGCAAATCTGTCGAAAATTGCAGCTGTGCATTCGTTACATACACACACACACATATATATATATATATATATATATATATGTTTGTGTGTGTGACATCTATAGGGCTTAGTCTATCCTGCTATTTAGACATATCTGTCTGAAGAAAGATTCATACATGCAAATACCCATGCTAAAAGGTAAGAGAGTAACGAACTTGACCAGAATTCAAACTGCTCTCCAATTTCTTATTCAGAGGCATTATCTATTACTCAAACACACATTTTATATATATATATATATATATATATATATATATATATATATATATATATATATAAAAAAGAAATATATAGTTTTAAGGTGTGCTATACTTAAGGGATAAAGTGCTCAATATCAGGGATAGAGCATATAAAAGTGAACACTAAAATGAAGTCAACACTCAGAGGCAACAGACTGTTTCATGCAAGACACAATCATCAGGTGGTCTTGTGAGAGTCTGTTGCTGCTGATGTTAACTTCACTATTCACTATATATATATATATATATATATATATATATATATATATATATATATATATATATATATATATATAAGCAGTAAATTGGACAGACATGTCCACCAAAACTATCACTTACGTGATTGATGTTACCTTCAGCATCCCAACTTCAGAATTTCATAAGCAGATTTGTCCATCCACTCTTCAGGGGTGTATCAGTAATTTACTTATATTTTTTCAATTTTTTTTTTATATATACATTTAACATTGGCGTCAGTCTTTTTCTGTATTTTTTGTGTTTGTGCATGTGCAGCTGCTATGCATCCATGTCCCCCTCATATATTTGCATAACAGAAATTGTTTTTATTACCCCCATACACACACACAAAAAAAGAATGTTTAACCAGAATACAATGCCTTTCTGGAAGACAATTTTAATGTAAGCCGTCCTTGTAATTATAGCATTCAACATCAATAATAAATAAAAATTAAAATATTCATTTATCGTGTCTCTCACATTCACTCACCTGGAGACTTTATTGCTTGGGGTGAAATGATTAGAAAATAAAAAATAGAATTTCTCAGATTTACACATACAACTGACTTTTTTTTTTTTTAATTTTTAAAACTAAGCAGACTTCACAAAAAAATTTTATTACCCTACATCACTCCAGCAGCTTTAAAATTTCATATAAATGTAATGAACATGAAAGAAAACATGAATTGGATGCCTTAAAACTGGTTCAGAAAGCAAATGCCAAACCTCTTTACAAGTTTGGGTTTACATACACATTGTAAATATGCATTGGAAATTCTAAGAAGACTATATGTATAAATGGTCAATGTCATTAGATTCCATCAAAAGTTGATAGAATTTTTTTCAGATTAAGATAGCTTTATTATGAAACATTTTACCATCCTGAAATATAAAAAATTCAGTGTGTAGACAGTGGCGAGAAAAAAAAAAAAATTTTTTTAAAATTTGGTTTTTACCTTGCGATGAAATCTCTGGGCCAATTGATCAAGTTTCTCCAATCTGAAGGAAAAAAAAAATTAAATTAAACATTCAACAAACTATGTACCATAATGGTGATAAAATAAACTATAAAATTATTGACAAATCTCTTCAGATTTTCCAGTGTTGAATTTTTAATGATTTACAATCAAGACATCAGCATATGTGCAAATACTTAGAACTTTCTAAACATCTGACCAGAATTTTAATAAAACATGAAATTCTTTGGTATGAAAATTCAAGTTTCAGTTGAAGCTAAACTTGAATGAATCAACTAAAAACAAAGTTTTTGAAATTAAATTTTTTTTTTTTTTTTTTTAAATGCCATCAAATGATGTAAACAATCATAAATCTTCATTCCTTTTCTTTATCTGAATTAGCATGCCTTCTTGGGAAAGATATTGATGTGATTCTATGTAGGATTCTCCAGGAATTTAAATTCAGAATATTCCTTCATAAAGTGGCTGCTACCCAGGGTTAGAGAACTGTCTACCTTACTATTTAACCCATTGCCGGAGGAGAAAGATTCATGGCTGTTCTAATTTCTCAGTCATTTATGCAGTCTGTTTCTAAAATACCTAATAAGCAAATAAATGTACAAATAACATGTACATATGATTGTTATTTGTATTATCACTCAGAAAACTAATTGTTTGTGATACAGTCATCATTATACAAGGCCAACAATGAGACAGCCCTTTATTATTATTATAATAATAATAACAATAATAATAATAATAATAATAATAATAAATATATATACAGTGTAACCCGGATATAAGAGAGTTGTCGGGACCGGAGAAGAAGTCTCTTATATCCGGGTTACACTGTGTATGTGAGTGTGTGTGTGTATATATATATATATATATATATAAAAATTGTCCAAACCTGACACAATCCATCCTTATCCAGGCTTCACCTAAATTGGCTTCCATCTCAAAGCAAGAGAGGCTTATAGTCATATTATGTTTAAACATTGTTTTTTGACATCTGCAGTTAAGCAACATCAAGTTTTGTCAGTATCTAGATAGATAACCAGTTGGGAATCCCAGCTGCTGTAAGCTGGAATGTGCAGTTGATGTAATGGATAATGGCTCAGAATTGGAACTTGGAGAGCCAAGTTCTAATTCTAGTCATGTTTATTATATTCAGTTACACACACATACCCTTGGGAAAGGCATGAATCTACCTTTTCCCCACCTAGTTATGGATTAATTAGTAGTACTTGTATCAGTAAGTCATTATCTCCAAACAAATCTTACAATCTAAAAATATTTTTTGGCTTTAACCTGCAAATGGTTTATAAGCCATAAAAAAAATCACACAAGAAAAGAGCCCATTTTGTTCTGCTATTTAACCCATAAGAGGGGTGATAAGATATGGACCCATATCTTTTATCATTAGGTATTTGAGTGAAAGTGAACAAAGCCAAGTGGAATTTGAACATGCCAATTTCTCTTTGCAAGATGCCAACCATAACATTACTCATACTTCCATTTATGAGCAAGGTAGATAAAAATTCTATTGGTTCCAATCTGCATGGGAATGTGCACAAAAACATCAACTCCTAAAATTTGTAAACAAATCATACAGATGCATGCTGGGATGTCTTCTTAGCCAATAAAATTGGCCACGTCTCAGTCTCATCCACCATATTTTTGTTCTTGTCTTGAAGTCAGAATACAACCATCACTTGACTGTATCTCTTTTGTACAATTCTTACTTTAGGAACTGTTTGCCTTAGTACTGTTGTTTTGCCTACTTTTGTCTTATATGTATGTTTAGTAATATTAGTATTATTTTGCCTGTTCATAGGAAACTTTGTCAATTCTGTTTGTTGGGCATTTTTGCCAATTACACTTAACTATGGCTAATTACTCTACAATTTTAATTGTACTATATAATATACTATATATTTCATAGTGTGTGTGTTTTTTATATATATATATATATATATATATATATATAAAATGAAATGGATTAAGTTCGAAAATTATTTAATATATTTTCCATTTATGTTTTTATAGATAGAATTAATTCAAGTAAATGCTCTGTTCTTTAATTAAGCAGTATTAATTACATTTACTGACCTGAATGGTCGAGAAATTTATAGAAAATATGTGTTCTGACAGGAATTGAACCTGAATTCTTATACGTAAACATAATTGATACTGTTAAATTAAAAACAGAGCATTTATTTAAATAAATTCCATCTATAAAAATAACATGACCAGAAAAAATAAATTATGTACACACAACAGTGTAATAGCAAAATTGCCCCAATTGTGTTACATTATTGTCCAGCCCACAAAATGTTTAATATCTAAAAAAAAAAAAAAAAAAAAAAAAAAAAAAAAAAAAAACAAAAAAAAACACCAAAACTATCTTTTTCCAGTTTTTCAGATAAAACAGTTAGCCATCTTAACATTTGTTGTAAGAATCACTGAAAAACCGAGTTATTCAACTAGAAAGAGAAAAGGTTAAAATCATTTTGTGTCAGCCATACTTGTCCTCTCAACTGAGCAATGGCGAAATGAAAAAAAAAAAATTCAGGCTTTCAGAAATGGTACCAACATTCATACTCTGGCTTCCATCTTCAAAAAAGTCCATTCAAGAACCATCAAGTGATTGGTAAATAAGTTTTAATAAGAGGGAACACTCAAAACTGGATCAGGAGGTCACAAGAGGAAGAGGGATCACCATTTCAACTAAAAGAGCTAAAGAAATCAATTAGAAAAGATCAAACTCAAACCATAAGATCAAACTCAAACCATAAGACGTTTGGTACATGAAAGAGGAGTTTCAGCTATGACAGTTCAAAGAGCAGTGTAAAAAATGGACTTGAAAATGAAATCCTACATGAAATGTAGGAGGCACCTTGTTACTCCAGGACAGAATGTTAGGTTTGAGTAGAGAGAGCAAACTTGAATAAGTTGGAAAATGATCCTGGAATAAATATATCTCTATTTGAATTTTATTTCAATCCTTCATGAACTTCCATATCCCAAACAAGGCAATAAAGCCAGTAGAATGCAAGGGGTTATTGAGTGATAGAGTATATGAGAAAAAAATAAAAACACTATTATGGAAAAAGAACAAAGGAGATAGAAGAACGATTGACATTACATTTAAATTTCTCTGCCAGTTACACTTAAGCATGAGCAGTTACTCTGCAAATCCTATTATGAAGAGTTATGCTAAGAGTAGGTTGCAATTTATTCAATGTATGACAAGTTGCTCTCTTTACTTCAGTATGAAAGTTCTCATTTTCTTGTGGATATTCTTATTTAACCATTTTAGATTAAAGTTTCAAAACATTCAGGATTTTTGCAAACATGGCTCTTCACAATTTCCCATCCTAGCACTTAATAACTTTTGGCTTTTTGCTATCTCTCCCAAAACCTGCTCTGCCATCCAGTCACTCAAGCTTGCCAGGTAGATTGTGCATTGCTTTCCCCTGGGCATTTTACCTTCTGTCCTGTGAGTATCAAATTTTCCAAGCCCTCTTTCCTCATTATGTGCCCTATAAATTTCTACTGTTTCATCCTGACGTTAACTATAAGTGTCCTTTTTGTTGCCATTGTCTCTAAAACTGTTGTTGCTCGTGTGTTTGGTCATTTCTGTAGCTTCGTCTTATGTCTTGACCAGCATTCACAAGCATATGAGGACAGATGCTACATAACAGTTCAGTATTCTTCTTTGTTTCTAATGATATTTTTCTGTTACTTAATAATTTGTCCATCCTTTGGAAAGCATCAGGTTAGAGTACAACTACTGAAACATTGTGATTATAATGACCAAGATTAAGATATAAATTAATGAAGTGCTCTTTACTTATTTTAAGCTGTAAAAAGATAAGAAAAATAAAAACTTACCTCTTAAAAATATCCCGAAGAGCAACTTCCCGATCATGCTCAGCTTTTTCCAGACTTGTCCATGCAGTTTGGATATCATGAACCAGTTTGCCTTCAGGAGGAACGTAACTCTTTTGTCCATTTGCTTTCAAATTTGCCTGAATGTTGAAATAAAGTACTTCAACTGTGCCACGTTCTTCAAACCTAAAACGATATTTCAATTAAAAAAAAAAAAAAAAAAAAAAAAATAATTTAGTCAGAAAGAAGCAAAATGATAAACAGATACAGAAACAGCCATACATAAAACAGATGTAAAAAAAAAAAAAAAAAAAATTATAGAGCAGTGGTTCTCAACCCAGAAGGTGAATTTCAGGGTGGGTAGAGAGGAAAAAAAAAAATAAAAAAATCTTATCTTCAAATATGGACTCATCCTGGCTATTGAAATTTTTCTTTATCAAGTTATGTCAGTTTATTTATTTAATAATTAGTCAGGATTTAAAACAAATTACTGTATATGTATTTAAGTTTAAAATCTATCAACGTTTTCTACTGCTATGAAATTTTCAAAATGCCTTTATAAAAACAATCCATGTAAATTTACTAATATGAAAAAAAAAAAAAAATATCAGGATTTTCAATAATATATGCATATTATTTGGAATTCCCATTTTGAGTCAGACAATCTTGAAAAGGGGGAATGACATTCTGACATGGTGAAATGGTTGCATTGGACAAAAAAGGTTGAGAAGCTCTGGTATCAAGAAGCAAAAAGAGATGTACCTATGGAAAAAATACAGTGATGCTGAGTGTGAAATAGATGCAGTCATAGATGGAGATGCAGCAACAAATGCAAAGACATCTTGATATAGAAAAAGGCAGGTAAAGACAGTTGCATAAAAATAAGTAAAAAGTTACAACACAAGCAAAAATAAAAAGACGAGCAATTCAAAAGATTTATCACCATACTGTATTGAAATTTCATATGGTTAAGTGCTTAGAACATTAGGATTCTGACCATGAGATAAGAGTTCAAACATCAGAGTCAATTTGTCAAAGAGGTGACTTCCTGATAATGTCAAGCTGTGGAAACAATCCCAGTATGCACTGGTGGAAAGTGCCTGAAAACTATATGCCTTGTGGGTGAAATTGGTTACATGAAACTGTTTGGAAGTTGTTCATAGTTGTGCTAGCATGAAGCCACAAGTCCTTACCTTTTGTGCAGATAAGAGCTCTATAGCTTTGGTTGGCAATCTATTTAGAGATGTCTTTATATAGTGATTTTCCAAGCGTAGCTCTGATGTGGCACAAAGCTGAAAGTATGGGGCACCCAGTGAGAATCGAACTCACTACTCAGTTGTAATTGTTCTGGCGAGACAAACTTGCTAGCCATTACACCACCTTGAGGAGCCTAACAATAATTTTCCAAGCATAAGCTAGATGTGGCACAAAGCCGAAAGTATGGAGCCCTTGAACTCACTACTCAGTCATAATTTTCCCTAACAATGATTTTCCAAGCATAGCTTAGATGTGGCACAAAGCCGAAAGTATGGGGCACCCAATGAGGATTGAACTCACTACTCAGTCATAATTGTTCTGGCGAGACAAACTTGCTAACCATTACACCACCTGAAGGTGCCCTAACAATGATTTTCCAAGCATAGCTTAGATGTGGCACAAAGCCGAAAGTATGGGGCACCCAATGAGGATTGAACTCACTACTCAGTCATAATTGTTCTGGCAAGACAAGCTTGCTAACCATTACACCACCTGAAGGTGCCCTAACCATGATTTTCCAAGCATAGCTTAGATGTGGCACAAAGCCGAAAGTATGGGGCACCCAGTGAGAATCGAACTCACTACTCAGTCGTAATTGTTCTGGCAAGACAAGCTTGCTAACCATTACACCACCTTGAGGAGCCCATGTTGCCTTTATATAAGCACCTATCCTGAAAGTCTGTAGATGGGTAGATGAAACATTTTCAAAGTCATTGATGGTTGTGCTAATACAAAGGCACAAAATATTATGAGCTTACTGGCCTTGTTCAACTACTGATAGTACACCATCCCCCAGAAACTATAACTAAGGTCTGCTCAGCAGAGTTGCAGTATAAACCACAGACCCTAAGTTGAACTCATCCCACCAATTCCACTTTCTGTGCCAATAACTGTTGTACATCCATGCAGAAAGAAATGTAAAAAGGTATTACAAGAGAAGAAATTATGCAAAAACTTTCAAATGAGTACACAAATTTTCATAATTTCCTTACTTTGGAGGCTTTTCAACTGTTCTGTATTGCTTGAATTCAACAAATTTTTCTTTAATGCCATCAAAAGAATTTGGGAAGTCCCGATTGTTCAGTTCTTCAATTTTCTGCTTAATCCAATCAAGTAATTTAGTAGTGAGTGTCTCATATGTCTTCTGGTTTTTCTCTGAAGTTAATGCATTGCTGATAATCTGTAAAATACATTTTGGATTTCAGAAAAACAAAATTTCAACATTATATTTGGAAAGTTACTCTTTGAGTATATCTTTTTAGATTTTAAGTTTTAAGACAGAAAAGCTTTGTTACAAAGAAAGATTACTGTTATTTAATATCCGCCTACATGCTATTGAATACAAAGACAAAGACTTGAGGCAACAAAAATGTGGTTCTACAGAAGGATGCTGAGAATGAATGTGTGAGCAATAAAGTAAGGAAAATGGAAGATAGTTGAAATTTGTAGGACACATAATTAATTCAAGTACAGAAATTCCTTGATTAGTGGGACTAATATGTACATTAAAAGATATGCACTAATTGAAAACATTTGTAAATATATAACTTAAAGAAATAATATAATTTTTACCTCCAATTTTAGTCTCATTCACAATTTCTAATTTGTGTATTTTAATTAAAATATCAGTACATATAAGATACAATAAAAATGCTACGAATTAATGTTTATTAATCTGATTTTTTATGAAAAACTTATTTAGAATGATTTGCCACATGGTGTTCTTCTGTTCATCATATAATTAGCAGTACTGAGAAATTTCCCCTTAAAATTTTTCAAACATAATTGTTAGTATTTTAACTTGAAAATTTATTTATAATCTTTCCATAATAAATGCATACATCTTTTATATTTTAATATTTTTTAATAAATGTAAATTTCTGTATCTAATTAAATTTTTTTAAAAAAAAAAAAAAAAAAAAAAAAAATTCCTTTTAAGACCTTCAAAATAAGAATGAAAAAAATCAAAGTATTCAAAAATTTTTATAGAGGTAAATATTCAAATATGTATTTTTATTATCAGCTTATATTATAAAAGCTATTTATAAGTGTCCATTTTTTAACACTGCTGTAATTACTTAAATAACATAATACTTGACAAACAAAATCACCTATTTTTGAATTTTACAAAAGTTTTTAATTAATCAGCAACTATAAAAAAAAAAAAATTTCAATTATTATGGTTAAACTGAAGAATGTTTTACCACACTATTCAAGTATTATGTACACACTAATCAAATTTTGATATATAAAAATTTAATCAAACTAATCAAATGAACATTAACCGAGGAATTCATGTAGTTCAACAACATGTTGAAAATTTGGAAGTAAACATTTTATTCAATCGTAAGAATTAGTAATAAAGTCGCTTAATTTTTTTTTTTAATACAAAGGTCAACTTTAACAACAAAGAAGCATTCAGTAACTTGTTTAATTTTTTTCAATTGCGTAAGCACCACTGATAATAAATACACAATAAAAAAAAAAAAAAAAAGAATGTCCCATAACTACAGTGTGTGTGTGTGTGTGTGTGTGTGTGTGTGTATTTTAAGACATTTTTATGTTTATACATTCTTTTTATAGATACAAATATTTAAGTAAATGCTCTGTTTATAATAAATTGGTATTAAACATTTACCAGCCTGAATGTCAGTGAAATTTTCACAGAAAATATTTGTCCTCCAACAGCTAAATAACAGTTCTGTATAGGATACAGGTTCGAATCCTGTCGGAGGATGAATATTTTCTGTGAAAAAAATGTTGTTTAATACTGTTTATTATAAACAGAGCATTTACTTAAATATTTGTATCTATAAATGAATGTATAAACATAAAATGTTTAAAAATAGTTCATTATATATATATATATATATATATATATATATATATATATATATGTGTGTGTGTATGGTTAGCAAAGTCCAAATTACTGTTTACAAACTTTGCTAATCAGACTTTTCTGTAGCTGAATGGTACTTCACATCAGGTCATTATATATATATATATATATATATATAAACAAAGTGGAAAAGTTTTTGTTTTACCATTTAGGGCTTCATCAGGCTATGTTTACATTGATGCGACTAAACATGCATATGAACAATAGACACTGGGAATTTAAGATTTGAAATGTTCTGGGTATGTAATTTAGTTGATTTCATTTAGATTTTTTTTTCATTTTGTTTATTTCCATCATATTTGTTATCAAATATTTCACATTGTGATAATAGACCTGTCAAAAATGGTGAAAAATATAAACCTGGACACAAATTTATTGTGGATGATCTTGCGATTAAAGCACTTTCTAAACATTTTTGGCTTAGTAAATTGTTTTGATTAAAGTAGCACCTTTTCTTCAACAATTTCCTATCCTTGGTAGCCCTTAGTATATTTTGTCTTTCTGCTGTCACCCTTAATTCTTGTTTAGCCAACCAGTTACAGAAGCCAATTAGGTAGGTTTTGCATTGCTTTTCTGATTGATTCCTTGTTTTCAATATATCTCATGGTCATCTGATTTGAAGCACGTTTCAACCTCCAAGGTTTCCATTCAAAGAATGTTTTGTTTCCATTTTCTGAAACTCTCATTGCTCACATATTCAGTTCACAGTATCCTCAAACTTAAATCCAAATGGGAGCCCCAAACTTTTGAGCTATCATGTATGTACTACTTCAATAGTAGATTACAAGATCAAATAAATTAGCATATTAGAACCCTTCAGCACAAATTTACAAATTGTTTAATTCATGAAATGACCTTAGACATGTTATTGGACCGGTTAAAAAACAAAATTTACCTTTGCAATTCTTTTGCCGCCTGTCATTTCAGATTTTAATTTTGCAAAATAATGATAATATGCTGACACATAAGTCATGATGACTTTTTCGTCCGGCTTTGGCACATCCACATCTGACAAGAAAAAAAAATTCATATTGTTAGACATTTTTAAAATTAATATAATCTTCTGTATATTACATCAAATAGCAGATAAAATTCTATGCTTTGTTTGGAAGAGGTTGGTTGGGAGCAAATATCTATTTCAAAAGCTGTATTAAAAATGTACGATTTGATGAAATGTCAAATTTTATATACTTACAAGTATCATACCTGGGCACCCATACCATCGGCATCATACATTACCCGGGCAACCTATCATCGGTGTCATGCGTTACCTGCCCCCCCTTAAACCAGCGGCATCATGCACTACCCGTGCCCCCCCCCAACCATCGGCGTCATGCGCTACGCGGGCACTCCCCCAATCATTAGCATCATACCTGCTCCTCTCCCATTAATAGCACAGAGAATGCAATCACTGAATAGTTCAAAACCTGGCTGGGATAGTTTACATTCCTTACACAGAATTATTCTTGGAATTGATTGATTTTATAGCTTATCGAACTTTGGTAGGTTATCGAAAGCCAAAACATTTTCAATTGTGAGAACAATTTTTTTTGTGAGTGTATATTACATTAACAATTTTTTGGAGAACAATGATTTTTTTTCCAGATAAAAGTCCTATTTAACCCATAGCTATGGAAAGGAGATGGATTCATATTTGTGTGCAAATGAATGTAATGAATGCAATTGGAATTTGAACTGTTCTCTAATTTCTCTTTCTGAGCTGCTATCCATTACACCATCCATTTATCCTTAGGAAAGGGTATGATCTCAATTCTTCCCATCTCTCATAAGCTATGGATAAAATATTAGGGGAGTTGAATCTCTTTAGCCTCAGGAAAGTAATCTAAAGTATTAGATAAGCACATCAGGCTCTGCTCAAAAGTTCATAATGGCTTTAAAAGTAAGATTCAGTTTGTGTTCTTGTAGTATTTTGAATTATTGTTCTCATCTTGAGGAGGCAGAGTGGATCGGCTTGGACTGAGGAATTGGAGAGCCAAGTTTGAATTCCAGTCAAATCCATTACATTCACTTACATGCTAATACCCTTGGGAAAAGTATGAATTCTCTTCTTCTGCTAGCTATGGGTAAATAGCAGGACAGACCTTGGATGGCAGCTGGTCTACCACAGAAAGAAATGGCAACTTACTGCAGCAAAAAAAAAAAAAAAAAAAAAAAAAAGACTGCCTTGTCAGTCATGTATTGAAAGATACATGATCGCCTAAGCATGTATCACGCATTACACATAACTGACTTTTCTCATCTTGGTGGATATTGACGTTACTACAGAGACCACATTTTGACCAAGTGCCTTCTGGTCATCATTAGGTGTCCATTGTCTGATATGAGATATCTGTTGATTGATATTTTGTTCCTGTGATATCAGTTATTATTCCTACTGAACTGGTGTGTCATTACCAGATCTAAGGATTGACAAAATGACAGTAATTGTCATCTAGTGATCAGGAGTTCAAACATAAAACAAGAATATTAACAGTCACTCATCTCAGAAACGAAATACTACATTCAGTCTGTGTCTTGCTTAGGAAATATTTACAAAAGTCATTGCCAAATGCTTTTTAACTTTTTAAGATGAAGGCATAGTGGATAACAGATTGAGGAATTGGAGAGCCAAGTTTGAATGTTCAAAATAAATTACATTCATTTCCATGCAAATATCCTCAGGAAAGGTATGACTATTTCTTCTTTCTCCACCCAGCTATGGGTAAATAGCAGGACAGACTGGGTCCTGTAGCCTTGGGTGGCAATTAGTCTAGAAGGATAACTTTGAATTTTAACATTGGGTAACCCCAGTAGAACAAAAATAAGAGCTGTTAAATAGCAGATGAACTCTTCAGAGTCAATGGCCATCCACCCCAACTATGAGTTAAATAGCCTCACGAACAAAACAACTGGCCAAGTGTGGTAAGTACAGTTAAAGTCCTGAAAACATGGCCAATCAGGGAGGGTCCCTTCAAAAAGGAGGGAGAAGGCCCTAGATTTAGGACAACAGCAAGTATGAATATTTTAGTTTTATCAAAATGTCAAGTAAAATGTCATAAAAGGCCATATCAATATATACAAAGTGGCTGATCACAGAATTTATGGGTTTTTTTGTGGGGCAACCAGATGTTGAAGATTTTTACAATGCATAAAAACCATGGTAAAACTATTTGAACAATAACTTGGACTGATTTTAAATGTGAATTAAGTTTAAGCGTCTATTGATTTTTTTTTCCTTTCAGATTTAAAAGTCAAAGTCATTGGCAATTTCCACCATGGAATCACACGTATTAAATCTATTGAAGCCTATTATGAAAATGGAGATTCAAACAGAAATGCATTTTGCACACTTCGCAATGTTTTTGGTCAACATAATCGACCAACCAAGAGTGCAAATGAAAACTATGTAACATTGTGAAGAAGTTCATTTCCTGCATGCAATGACGAATAGAGGGGTTTAGATTTTTGGCCACATTCTCATGCACTGCAGCAATGTTTTCAGCTGAACAGCATAAACAAACACATAATGGTGTTTTCACATCTGCCACCGACCCAATTTGTTTGAATTTATGAACAACTTTTCCAATTGCACTTTTGAAACTTTAACACATTGTTTGATTGTTAATCTTTCCATAGTTGAAATTGCCAAAGACTTAAGTTGTTACATCTGAAAGAAAAAGAAAATCATTAGATGTTTAAACTTAATTCACATTTAAAATTGGTCCAAGTTATTAGAACATCCTTTACTTGACTGGTTGTTTTTAGTGATATAAGGCTTTTTCCATTGAAAAATATAGTCTATTTTAGAAATACATTTACTTTGACATTTTATCCATAAAACTAAATGTTTAAATATGCATGTAGTATGTGATGAGTTTTAATCTAAAAGTTAATTTTTGTTTGTTTTTTTTTTTTTTTTTTTTTAATTCAAAATTTTTTGTGGGTGGGGGAGAAATATTGCAGATTCACAAGAAATTTAAATTTATTATAATGGTAATATTAGCCATTTCCTTATTAGAAAAAAATTGGGCATTCATTGAGCAGCAAGTGCTCAGTTGAATTTTATAAAATTTTTCCCTAAAAAAAAAAAAAATTGGTTTCTCAAGTCTAATTGTTGCTATCACTCTTTCCGGTATTGGAGGTTTTCTTCCTAACCTTTTGTTTGAAGTCATATGGTATGTCAACATCTTGACAATGTCATTTTTTCCGAGTTGTATATGCTATCCATTTTATTAGTTGCTGGTATTAATGGTCTTTAAGTGATGTGGTTTCTTTTATTACTCGGTATAAGTTATTGAGCTAGTTTATATTCTTCCAAATTCTTTCTGTTGGACCATGAGTATTTCAATTTAAAATGACTGGTTTTACAGTGGGCTTTGTATATATACTTATTAACATTACTAATTTTATTCAATACTACTAACAAGATAACCAACTTATCCATGGGGTGCACATTCTTAGAACCTAAGCGAATACCAAAAACTGCAAATAGTACTAAATCCTATATATATATATATATATATATATATATATATATATATATATATATATATAGTGCTTATATTTGTATACATACCCATGATGAAGTTCAATTTATAACTTAAGAACAATAAGATTGTAATATCAGGAAATATTAGTCAAAAGAAAAAAAAAAAACAAAAAAAACAAAAAACAAACAATATATGGTAATAAAAATGGATAAAAGAATAGCATGTTTTTTCCTTTCATTATGGAGAACGACATCTTTTCACAGCTTACTTTTATTATATCCAAATTCATACTATATTCCTGATTATTCGTCAGGTAACTGAAATCAGAGATTAGTAAAAGTAAAAGGTAGTATTAAAAATATTTCTTACCCTCAGCATCCAGCATTTTTGGTATTCCCATCTTTTCAGCAGCATTAAAAGCATTGTTAAGGTTCTGGATGTGTTCAGATGGGATAAGTTCTTCGTAGGCTATCAGGTCAGGTCTAGTAAAAACAAAAAAAAATAAAATAAATTAAAGAATTTTTATTTTAATATCTACAGAGGAAAAGAAACATCTTAAATATAGAATTTATCAAGAAAGTTCATATTAAAAAATTGGTCAGAATTTCCGAGTAAAGATTTTACTGTTAGATAGCAATCTATTGATAGTCATTGAATTCCAGAGAGTATAGACATGGTCAAGTTGTTAGACTTTTTACTTTCCAACCATGAGTGATTCAAATCTCAACAGTCACTGTCAAGATGACATTATTGGCTTGGAGAGGAGATCCCAGAATGGAGCATCTTTGAAAAGGGACTGAAACCCAAATTACAGGTTGACCTAATCCTTGTCAGTAAAGTTTGATACAAGGAACTGGTCATGGAATGTTGTTTTCAGGGTCACAGGACATTGTAACCAAAAGTTTGAGTGTACTGACCTTACTCAAACTGTTGATAATGCCAGATGGTGTATCATTTTGGTATCAAATCTCCCTTAAAAGTAGATATAATCTACAAAATTCATAGAAGTAATATAAATACCCATTTAATTTTTATTACTATTAATGCTCTGTCTTGACAATGGGCACTTTACAGAAAATTCTTGCCTTGAAATGCCCTAGTCAATTTAGTCTTTGTTGTTGTTGTTGTTCTTCTACTACAACAACTACAATGTTTATTTCCAATTATTTGAATAAATAAAATATAAATAAATTTGTTTATGTAATGAACAAAAACTGTTTGTTATATGAGAGAGTTCCGGAAATTTCTCAGATTGATGTATCGCCCCACCCAACCCAAAAAAGGGTCAGAATTTTGATCATTTAAACAGTTATTTTAGGAAGTGAGTCAGACAAAGAACTTTTCAGCATCATCTTGTATACTGTAAATTTAAAAAGAGGTTAACTAACAATGGAAACATGATTCAGTTTCTTCCCCCCCCCCAGAAAAACAAAAAGGTAACAATGGTATGCTTATGTGACAGTGATGTTCCATTTATCAGTTTCATGCTAACCACACAATTAAAAAATGGTTTATAGTGGTTCCAAGACTATAATTATGACCTGTAGAGGAGACAACCTCACACTCTCTCACACACACACACACAAAAGAATGAAAGAAAAAGAAAAACATTTTAATATTTATCTAACATTTTGGGATAAGATTCCAGCTTTACCCTAAGTCAGTTTTTTTTAAAGAAATTTTTAGATTATTGAACACTGTATATGTTGCTACTGACATAACTGTTACACAGAATCATTGAGGCACTCAATCTGGTTCACACTACTCCCTGGTATTTTGAACAGGTGTAGAGGTTTATGCCTTCCTTTCTGTTTAAGAGTGAGTTTCCAGTTCCTTCTTGTTGTAGAGTAGCTAGCAGCCCTTTAGCACTCTACCAGATGGCCTGGCTCAGACTTAAATAGTCTATGATTAAGGACTTCAATAATTGATTAATAAGTTGATACTAAGCTGATTAATATTCAGACTGATCTTCATTTGGCTATACAGCATTTGACCCACCTCTATTTCTTGTAAATTGTCTTGTCCATTGTTTTGTAACTTATTGTTCTGTGTTTTTTGTATGTATCCATTAGCACTGGATACTGGTGCTGAATAAATATATTAAGCACTCTTTCTTTTGTGTATAATTCACCTCGATGATACAACACTTCTAAAGTCTACTTCAACTCTATACATCTAACATCTCTGACTGAGCTATGAAATTTTATTCACTAATTTTTTTTCTTCTCTCCCAATAGGAGTTGATACATTTTCTTGTCCAGTTCACATACCTCCCTAGTTTTTTTTTTTTTTTTTGAATGGGAGTAGAGGTTTATCCCTTGTTTCCTGTTTAAGATTGGATTTCAAGTTCACTTCTTGCCCTTATGCTAATACTACAGCATACAGTAATCATCTACCTCGAGTGGCTCTTGTGCCTTTTATTGGGTGAACATAAGTGTAAAAAAAAAAAATCTTAAAGGGCTTTTGAAAAAGTCTGGCATAGGAGGTTGATACACAAACTCTCTTGCATCCTTACAATGATCAACCCCTTCCTGTCAAATTTGTCCTTGAAGATCATTATCAATGGCCATGTTTCTGAAGCTCAATGCAGGCATCTCAAAGGGCTCACAACTCAGCCCTATTATCTTTCTGCTTTATATTAATCTAACCAAGAATATTATTAGCAAGTAAATCTACACAAATGATACCAGTGTATGAGTGCACCTCCCAAAACCATGACCAGAGCATAGCAACTGACCTCACATCTGACTTAGCTCTCTCAGATCAAGGGAGTGTGGTGGAACTGGATTATAACCAGTAATGGCATCCTACCAGTTCATGCAAACAGGTTCTTAAAATTATGAAAGCTTAGCAAACTGGTTGTTGGATTATCCCAAAAGAATCATAGTAATAGCCAATATATAACAGCTAAAATCAAATACCATTGTGATAAATTCTGCAGAAGCTGAAAGAGGGTTTTTTTGAGATGAACATAATTTATTCTGACAAAAGAAATTGTCTTCAAATTAAAAATGTGGCAAATCTTCTAGTCATAAATCTTATAGGTCTTCCATTGAATCTTTGGGACTGCAGCAATTCACTTCTAATGTGGCTAAGAAACCATAACACAGCTGATGACATTAGAGTCAAAAAGCATCATGCTTCTGAACAAAAATATGAAGAGAACAGGATTTCAATCTGGAAAGATCTTAATGTTTTCTATTAAATTATCAGAATGGTTTCTTTTTTATACTATGAAGTGATTTGTTTCTATCCTCAGATTGGAAAGAAAATAAACAAAACAGGTTCCTAAAGATTACCTGCCTTTATAGAACAGGTTGCTGGAAATTTTCAATGTCATTATTACTTGTGACTTCCAAAACTTCAAAAACCAAAGTAATAATTTTTTTTTATCATTAATCTGACCCTAAAATGTTACCAGACACAATGAATGGTAGTACTCTTAATTAGGCTCCTTGCTTTGAGCATCTGTTGGGAATCAAGTACACCCCAGACCTCAAGAGGAATTTATATATACAATCCATTACTTAAGAAACTGGAAAAGTAGCCAACATTTTATACCACTCTGAAAAGTCCCTGAAATGCTTTATCTTTAAAAAGCTCTGATCAAACCAAAAAATGGTTTATGCTACCATATCTGAATGGTAGCTGCCCAAACCCCTCTTTTCAGCCTTGAGTTCAAAAGAGTTTGTGCAGCATTATAATTATAGATTAATTACTTTCCATCTCAAAATCTCTCCCACAGAATGTTCAAAGCCTCTCACAACTATCACTATTTTCATAGAATATGTTCTGATGAGCTACATTCCCTAGTTCCATAGTCAAATATTTACAGCTAACACCCACCATGCCACATACAGAGAGTTAAAATATCCTCAATCCCTTTATTTTCCATTAATAAAAAGGGAAATTCTAGTCAGACAGCTTCTTCCCAAGAGAAACAGCTTTATAGAACAGACTTTCAAGAGAACGCTTCCTTGAACACTACACTCTTCAAGTTTAGAGTCAGCCATTACCGATCATATGTATCCTCATAATCTGCACTTACCTTCTATGTTCCTATAACAACCTTATTTCCTAACATTTTGAGTGGCTCTTGGGCCTTATATTGAGTGAAAATTTAGTTAAAATTAAAAATTTAATGTTCTGAACTTCTGAAATATAGCCTTGGTTAATATAAGACAAATTTGATAACTTCCTCAGTTTCTAACAATTTATTTAAGATATTTCATACAAGTTTTCATTCTACTGATATAAATTTAAATACACATAGCAGCATAACTACTTGGCCTTTTAAAAATGGATGTTTTTTTTTTGTTTGTTTGCTTCGGATCTTTTTTGAAAGATCAGAGGAAAAAAAATCAGCAGGTAGGATGCTTTGTTTGCAATCTGTTAAAAATTTCTTACATTGGTTATTAAATTCTTTGCTCGTGTTGTGATAAATATCTTTCTCAATTCACATTTTCTCCAATCAGCTGAGGTCAATTTTCTTTATATCGACACAAACACAAAAGGTAATTGCTTAAAATATTTAAAACAAACCAACTCCATGAAGGACTCTCCAAATCTAAGAAGATTGGTTCTTCAAAAAACTATTTCCACTTATGCACTTAATTTCACAGCAGCTGATGAGATCTTTCGACATTACTTTTGTCCTGAAACTTCTAACTTTTGGTAATTGTTGTGGCCTTGTTAGGGCCAGAAATAAAGACACAAGAGAGGAATTGAGTTAAAGAGATATATTAACAGAAACAGTAATACAAACATATACAAACAAGAGTGTTACAGCAAGAATGTTCAGTCTGACTGCCAGAGCTAACTGCTGGAAACTTCCTTCTCCAAAAGGCAGTACCTGCTCCTATTTATAACTGGGAGAGTCCATGCATGCATGGGTAAATTACTATAAGAGTAATGAATTTGATTTTTTTTTTTTTTTTTTTTTTTTTTTATTCGCCTTATTTTGCAGATTATTTAAAGCCAGTGAATATTTTTAGATTCTAAGAATTTCAGGAGATAACTTACTGATACAACTTTTAATTAACCCATAGCTGGAGGGTGAAGAAATTAATTCATACTTGCCTAAAGATATGAATAAGTGAATATGAACTCAACTAGAATTAGAACTGCTCTGATTTCAAGTTCTGAGCTGTTATCCATTATACCACCTGTACATCTAAGTTTACAGCACGTCATATCCAAGAAGTCACTCATCTAGTTACAGATCAGACTCAATAGCTTAACTAGTGATCATATAAGGACCAATGTTTCAAGGGGATATGGCTGTATGCTTTGGTAATGAATAGGATTGAAAGTTTATAAATCAATGATCATACTGAAAGACAAACATAATGACTGCAATATTATTGGTCCTGACTTGGCATTTCAGCTTTAGTCATTTTCCCACCTTCATAAAGTAGCTTCTCTGTGCCTTTTCTATAATTACTTACATGTTAATTGTTCTGATGAACTTTCCTCTTTGATACCTAGAATTTATGAATTTTAAGTACTGTACTAGATTGGTAGCATGGTCTCATCATTTTACAGTTGAAATGTCTAGATGTAACTAATTTCTATACTAAAAGTTTCTTTCACACTTCTTGCTTATGGAATTCTTTCAGCTTCTTGCTTTCCAGTAACTTTGATGTTCAAAAATTTAAAAGCAATATCAATCATTATCTTCTGTCTTAATTGCTTTTTTTTTTTTTTTTCTCTCCTTAATGTATTTTTTTTTCATATTCTCTCACTTGGTAACCTCTTGCATCTTAGTGGCTTTATCGCCTTGCTTAGGGTCAAATGATTAAAATATTAAGCTGACTTGTCAACTCTTTTGAACATCATTAGGCAAAAACATTGTTTTTATTCATTTCTTTGGATGTAAGTGATTAGGAAGGTCTATTGAGTTAGCTTACTAACAATTACTCCACATTCAAATGTATTGTATTTTTTGTATTTTGCAATCAATTAGAAGTGAACAGGTTTTAATCTTCACTGACATTAAACCAAATTTTGGACAAGACCCTTCTTTTATTACAGTATTCCAGATTATGTATTTTAAATTCAATATGCATCTGTTGCAGCTGGGCAGTTATAAATGTGAGAGTTGATAAAGAGTATAAATGTCAAGGATTTGCAAGTCCAAGTGCTAAAAATGTTGGTTTTAACAAAACATCTTATTTCATATTGTCTCCTCTGACATTGTTTTTATTTTAATTTTCATATGAACTGTTAAAAATTTAAATTATAAATGCTTGCAAAATTGTTTCATAATGTGTATAGCACCAATTTATTAACTGCAATAGTTACTAAAAATTGGTATTTGAATACCACATTACACATTTTGTCCTTAAGGACTTTTTCAAGCTTGTTTTTATTGATGGAATCACATGTATGAAACAACAAATGCTTATTACAGTTTTATCTCAGGAAACACTGAAGATGGATGGACAACTTTAGATTTTTGGTGTTTGCGACATCTACTGTATATACTCCTGTATCATGTGAATTTTGAAGCTAATTTTAAGAGGGTCAAATTGTACATGAGATAAAATTAGCATATGTACTGCTGTCCATGGCTACACCATTGACCAAACTATATATCCATTTACTGTAGTCAAATTAGCTTCAAAATTATGTCTTCAAAGGTTGCATGATCTGGGAGTATATACGGCACTTATTACTGTACTTTAGTAATTATTAAAAATATGTACAAGGGCTAAAGAGCTTGTCTAGTATCAAAGAATTTTCTCTATAATTAGGTTTATGAGCTCTAATATTCCATATTTATCTGGGATCTTATTTTAAAGATCCCAGATAAATTTTCAATGTTTGTTTTAGGGGTTGAAGAACTGTGTCTTTGACACTCAGAAATATGGTACATGGAATTATATAAATATGTCTTTTCAGCCTCATTATGGTCTAATTAAAACTAAACTGGAACTTATGCACACATATTTTGATGAACGGGACTTCAGTAAAGTTGAACTGCTGATAGAAACCTACCAGAATAATCGAGTAAAATATAATTTTTTTTTTTTTTAAAGTAAAGTTTATAAACAAAATTATTTATGACAACCTAATTGTATATCAACTCATTTACTCTACTTTAATATTATTGAAACACTGATAATTTTTTTAAAATTATTACCATATCATGTGACTTTTGAAGACCAAAATTTGAAGCTAATTTTAAGGCGGTTACATCACACACAAGAAATAATTAGCATATGTACTGTTGTCCCAGGCTACACCATTGAACAAATTATATATTCATTTACTGTGGTCAAATTAGCTTCAAAATTAGATCTTCAAAGGTTGCATGATCTGTGAGTATATAAAGTATATACGTAACCTAGCCAATATTATTCAGCTTTTGTTATTGGTTTTAGTCCGATATATAGAAATGTATGATATTAAATAAACAAAAATATAGATAAAGCAACAAAATTGATGATTTTAATGCAGACAGGAATTACAACAAGCAAATATGCATAAGAATAAATGATGATACAATACATAGAAATCAAGTTAGAATCAAGTTTATGTTAATGAATCAGAATTCAAAAAATTTGACCAACCTGTGAAACAAGAGATGGCAAAAAATAGTATGAAAGGAAATATGAAGATATACAAATGAAATAAGAAAAAAAAGATACTAAAAAAGGTGTTTACAAAATCATTATTTCACTGTTATGAATTATAATTCAGGTAACTCAGAACCATGACTGATTAGGACAAAACAGTGTTGATAATTCATTTATCATATCTTCTATTCAACATTTTATAGAGCATGTTTGAGATTAATTGGGGAAACTTCCAAAGGACTTTGGATTCCTCATGAACTTTTATTTGATAACCAAACAATGTTTCACTATGTGCAGCCATCTTATGCTTTTTTTATCACATTGTTACAGATGATGAAAAATGAGTTTTGCATGTCAACAGAAGACAAAAAAAAGATAGTGAATATCACAAAATGAGAAACCATTGCTAATTCCAAAAACAAGGAGCACATCCACAGAAGTCCTTTTTATGTTTGGTGCAGTATGAAATGTATCATACATAACAAGCTGGTGGGAAATTGGGGGGGGGGGATTATACATAAAAGTCAGTGTGCTCATATGTAATAAGACAACAGACAAACAGTATGAGAGAATTCAAGGTAATAGGAAGATATTTTTAGGCTGATGAATTTAAAAATACTAACATGTTTACAGTTATTTTATTTCAATCAATCCAGGTTTATTAGGACAAAACAGCATCTAAAATCTGTTTATCATCACTTTCGTCCAACAGTGTATGGTGCATGTTTGAGAAACTTCCAAAAAGGGACTTTGGGTTCCTCATGAGCTTTCACTTGAGAACCAAATAACATTTCACTATCTATGGCGGTCATAACCAGGAATGTGAACCTTTTTCATCACATTGTTACAGATGTTGAAATATATATGACAGGGTTAACACAAAATGAGAAACAAGCACAAAAACCAAAACCCCATCTACAGAAGCCCTTTTTGCTCAAATATGAAAGGTGCCATTTATCATGAACTGATGGAACATGGAAGGACCATCACTGCAGATGTTTATTGCTAGCAAATTGATTGTGTAATCTAAACATTATTTTGGAAGTGTCCCATTTTGTTAAACAAAAAAAGGGTTATTCAGCATGCACCACAACAATGCAAGAGCACACACTAATAAACAGGCCCCAGGAAAAATAAGATCATTATAATAGAAGGTTCTTCTATACTCTATATGCGATAGATTTAGAACCTATGGATTTTCATTTGATAAGATAGGAATCAATTATCAATAAAACAGGTTTCAGTTTTATTCAAGCATCAGAGAATGAGATAGAAAGAAATTCCTGTATTCATTATTTTTGCTTTGTTTGATTTTCATTGGTTAATCAGGTTTTAGATGCATATAACTTGTTAAACGTTAATATAATTTATGGCATTCTGAATTCAAGGAGAGATGACGTCCTTTCGAAGTTCCAAGAAATTAAAATATTCGAAGCCTAACTGAAAAATCATAAATACTGCTTTATGTATGCAAGTGTAATTCTAGTTTGTCTATGTGGGATTCATATGATAATGTATATTAGATAAAAATATGTTAGATTCTTTAAGAATGGATTCAATAAAGGTTGGTCATGTAATGTGTTTTTGATGTGTGTTTATACTTGGTAAAATATTTGTTCATAGTCCCTCAAAGTACTTTTGACAAAAAAATTGTGTTTTTTTTTGTTTTTTTTTTAAATTAGGGAGGCACTTATAAAATCAAATTTATGGTCAGTTTTGTTCCTGTGTATTATGAGCTAGTTTAAATGGCTCTCCAAACATAAATCCCTTTCATGTTCATAGATACAGACTTTTAGATTTTGAGATGTCCCACCAATATAAGAGCTTTGACATTGTAAGATATTTATTTGATAAGTACTGGAATCAGAATTGGAGTCAGATTTATTTTTCTTCCTAATTATATATCTGTCTTGGATGTAGTGGTAATGATCCTAATATTAGGGATAATAAATTTATTTACAAATTTTGTAGAGTGTCAGAGGGCAAGATTATGAATTTTGTGTTAGTATTATCAGTTCTCTGGATTTGTGGACTTTGTATTCCGATCTTCTAACATTGAGGATGAAATGATATGGATAGTGAAGTCTAAATATTTTTTCAATGTATTTCTGTTCTTTACCTAGGTATTTTGGACTATATATTCTAATGGCTCTGAGATAGAATCCTATGACTAGTTCAGATTTAATTTTTTGATTGTGGTAGGAATAGAAATTAGATCTTTTTTGTTAGTGGGTTTACTTTCATTTGTTTTGATCACAAGAACATTCAAATTCTAAGAAGCAACTGGAAATAGTCTTTCAAACTTTTTTTTGGTCAAGAGTGTGGGGAGATGTTTTAAAATGTGAAATAAAAAAATTATTTTGTTACACTGCAATCAATGAAAATGATTACATGTTTATTACTTTCCAAACATGCTAAAATGTTGATAATTTTTCAATAATTTTTTTGACAAAATCCTTAATTTGTATCATTGTTAGTCATCACAATCTTTTCCTTCAATTCCTATTACTTTTCAGATAATTAAATTGTGTATGATAGACATATTTGCCTTTGCAGAACATGCACCTTCACATAATTCTTACAAGGATATTTTGTGGAAAAATTATTTTAGTAGGTTTCATCATATACTTATTGAAATGCAGACAAACCTTTCATTTATGGTCAATGGACTTTGGATGCAATGGACAAAATCTGCAGGAAAAACTTCCAAATCATCAGCAATGTATTTCAAAGTATTTGGGCTTAGCAGAATGAGTTATATTAGTTCTCAAAGTAACCAGTGTTCCCCAGTCAACCAACTTATTAAAATTTGTTATCTTACCTGTGGGCATGTATGAGTGCATTGAATCCCAAACCATTCCGCCAAGATGTAGTGAAATTCTCAATATGGACACCAGGGTATCTGAAAGAAGAAACCCAGAAAAAAATTCAAATAAAGTTTTTTTTAATTCTGAAAAAAAAATAAAAAAATAAAAAAAATAAAAAAAATTTATATTAAATTTCTCTGGCAAAATTACATCTAAGTATTAATTTTATTGTAAGATAGTACAAGTCATAGCCAGCCTGGGTATAATGATAAACTACATTCGGCAGCAATGCCTGTGATTGGAAGGTTTTGAAAAGCATGGAACCATTTCTTTTATTCCCAGGTTTACCTTAATCTGGGGCTGGTAGCACCAGTTAGGGTCCCAGCTATGGGCAAAGAGTGAACCTCCAAACTGGGGTCACAACATGAAATCACAAGATTTATATGAATAGAATGTTTTCTTTGTAAGACATTTTGCCTTGCTACCAGATGAAAAGACTGCTGGTAAGCAACCATTTTAAATAGAGACTGTGGTAATAAAATAAGTACATCCTATCTCCCCCTCTTACTTGTAATCATCTCCTATAATAAATAATTTCAGCACTAAAACTGAATTAGTCAAATAAAGCTTCTACTTTGAGTTGCTATATTACAGAAACTTTATTTCAATAAAGTATAATTACTATTTTGAAAATTTACAATATTTAATTTCACCGACTTTTTGTCTTCAAGTAGACAAATATTTAAAAGTTCAAGGTATCACACTTTTTTATGCCCAAACAGGGTGGGAGTGGGAGGGAACAAGATCTACCAAACATACAGCAAGACATGATATCATTTGGTCATTCCTTACAAGTAAAACAATCCGAGCATGTTTAAGAATTATAAGCAGCTCTTTCTCTGTTAACTAATTTAAAGATGACCTTTTACAAAAATGAAACCATTTGCAATTAGAAAATGCTAAATATGAACATTATATATCAGTTTTATTCAAATGATAGTATTTAAGTATTTAAAAAATTTACTCAGTACCAAGCTGAAAATTTTTAACCAACACACCCACTTTTAACAACTTTCGAGTTTACTGTTTCAGTGCGCCCTTCCTGTTAGATTACACCCAACAACTCCTCAAGAAGATCCTGACCCAAAAAACATAGCTCTTGAAAACTGAGAAAAGTGACTAATTCCAAGGTTTCACTTTCAGTGACAAGATCTAATGGCTTTATCAGAGTGGTAAATATAGAACCTGCACTTCCGGACAATGTTCCTGCATTCTTTTTGAGTAGAAAAAGAAAAGACATCAAACTAATAAGATTCTGGATAATAACCACCTTTGAACAATCCAAGACTACCAAAGTACTAATGTTGGCTGTGACAAATGTTATTTATTCAAATAGATAGGTTCACCTTAACACTCCTCCCTAGTTTTTTGTACAGATGTAGAGTTTTATCCCTTGTTTCATGTTTAAGGCTGGGTTTCCAGTTCCTTCTAGACTTCTCATTCTCTTTCACTCAGCCCCTTGCATCTTAGTGGTATCACTACCTTGCTTGGAGTAAATTGATTAAAACAAAACAAAAAATCATATATACAATGATATAGCAATTATTGAAGGCTTATACAGACAGGCTCAATGGCAAATGATATCATACCCACAAAAAATAAAGCTAACTGCAAATGATTTCAACTCAGCTTTAAAAAATAAGAATCCACAGAGTTGTCCCATGGGACAATAGCCTAGTGAATTAAAGCATTGGTTTGTGAAATTGGTGACCTAATAATTGTCTGTTCAATATCTGGGCAATATCTACTGTAACATGGTAGAGACAGGGCATGCAATAACTGAGCAGTACTAAAATAAAGAACTTTGAGATATCACTAGACATGTACAGTGGAATGGAAATTTACTCAGAGATTAAATAAATGGTTCAGTTTTAGAATTTCCTGTAGGTTAACATACATCTGATGAAGGCCAAAGATCATAATGGCCCAAATACTGTAATAACAAGGACAACAGTCTGCATGCAAATACTCTAAATAATAACTCCTCTTTCCAAAAATTCAGAAGGAATAAAAGGTAGATTTATTTAGATTTAGCATTAAATGTTTGTCAGAACTGAAAAAAAAAAAAAATAGAATTTTAGAAGGGAGCTATCCTGTTCATAATATAAAAACAGCATCAAATCAATTAACAACTTATTAAGAGTTTTCTCTACTTTTTTTTTTTTTTATTTATAAGTTTGTTTACTTATGGATAACCACATAATACTAATTAAGAAAAAGGACAATATCAGTAGTATGTAGTTATCAATGACATAAGCAAGTTGCAAACTTAACATTTGTAAACAAAACAAAGTTCAGATAACTCTTTATGAAGTCAGGTATAAATTTGACTTCAAACAGGATTTCACTCCTTAATATATAAAAAAAAAAGTAAAATTTAAAAAAATAATATTTATTATGTCAAGTGTCATGACTTTAATAATAAGCTACAAAAATACTTCAGTTTTTTTTTTTTTTTTAAGCAGACCAGTCAATTTAAGTAGTGTCAATTTTAATACTATTTTAATACAATCTGTGATATAAAATTGCTGAAATGCAAAATTTTCATTCATTTTAATCATAAATATCTAGTGATATTATTCTTAATAGAGAAAAAATTAAAACCCACACTGGTTATCTTAGTGACAATTGTATTTGAACCTGCTATGTTATGACAGAGAATGCCTCCCTAATGACCTAGATACATGGTTGGCATTATTGACTAATGAATGTCTGAGCTAAATAGAGGCCAAATTGTCACTTCTATTGATGCCCACTCTTCTGCTTTACTCATTTTGATTCAAATAATGTGTGTCAAGAATTGGAACTTGATAAAACAATTTTTCTTGTTCAATATAAAACTAATATATTTCCAATTGTCTCTAATGACAAGCCTTGTAAAATGTCAATTCAAACATCCATATATAAAAATATCTGTCAGTTAACTAGAAAATGGAAAATGTAAAGGAATAAACATTTTTCTCTTTGATTATTTTAGTGAATTTTCTTACAATAAACATTTCCATTCATACATCACAGTCAAGATCATCATTGTGAGCACCACAATCCTTTCAATGACTGCATAGTATATACTTTGCCAGGACTCCTGTTAAGAGTATATACTTTGCCAGGACTACAGTTTTGAACTCATTTTTCCTTCTAGACTGGCTGCCAACCAAGGTTGAAGAGCCTAGGCCTGTCCTATTTAACCTATAACTGGGGGAGGGGAGAAAAGGATTCCTTAGTTTTCCAAGGATATTTGGGAGAAATTGAGTGTAAACCTAACTGCTCAAGGAGGAAGATACTCCTGTTGAGAGTATACTGTCAGTACTAGGATAATATGACACAATCATAGTTTAGCACTATCAAATTTCAAAACATCACGAGTTACTTTTCAGCTCTTAAAATTCGCATCATGACATTTAAAATGGACATCTGGAAACTATTAGGCTTTCAATCAAGAAAATAAACATCAATAAATATGCTTTAATTTAAAACAAATCCAAGAAACAACAATTAAACAGGATTTAAATGCATAGTGATTCAATGTCAAAAATGGATCAAATTTGGAGCCTTTTATAACACAAACTCCAAAATGTAATCATCTATCATATGAATTGTTGGTCAATACATTACATTGATTTCTAATTTGCATTGCTGACACATAGCTTCAATCTTATTTTGTGGTTGGGGATTTGAAAAAAAAAAAAAAAAAGTCTAAAACATGATATTGTGCAAGTGCCAAATTACAAAAACCAAGGACTTCAAATATATTTGAAAAAGTGGAAGATACTAGATTACAAGTGAGATCCCAAGAGAAACACATTAGAAAGGACAAATGCACCATTGTCATTAAGAGACTTCTTGGTTTAGGTAAATCAACATTGTTAATATGATAGTCACACACAACACAAACTCAATGGTGTAATCACATGGAAGAGAATGTGTTTCTGAATATGCAAAGAGGAACAATTTGATGGTCAGCAATTTATTAAAAGTAACAGTAAATAAGTTAAAGATATTTCCAAAGTTAATAGAGACAGCAAACATCCAAACCCACAACACGCACACAACAGCCATGTCTGCTAACTACCATGCATTTCATCTTTTTGCAGTTATGTTTAGTCTTTGTTTTCCTTCACTAACTTCTGTAGCAGTTCCTGTAGTTTCCTTCCCGTATCTGTTATTAACACTGTGCCATCTGCATATCTTACGTTAAGAATGTGGACACCAATATTGAATCCTGATAGTACTTCTAATTCTTTCAGAATCTCATTGTATAGATTGCAAAGTACTATTCAAAAATTAATAATTAACTTCCCTCTAAAAATTTGAATATTATACATTCTATTTATAAAGCAAAACATCTAAAAGGAGTTAATTATATATTCACAATAACATGAAATATTTCCTTTATTTTCTTTTGGATCATATGCCATAAATTTACAATGCTTAGTAATAGAGAAACACTATGAAATGCTATAAGTGTTAATGAAATCATTAAAGAAAAATAGTATAGTATTTTATATCCCAAATCATAAATGGACAAGAGCAAAGGTACATGGTTATACCCAAAGAATATACTCACCCATCTGTCTTGCGTTGACACCAGAGCAAAAGGGCATCTTTTGCAGACCTTTTCTCACCATCTTTGTCATCTTCCTCCTGTCAAATACAAAGGAAATGGTTATCATGAGCAGATAGCATTGACAACAAAATCTACAACAGGCAGGTGAAGAAGAATGTTATTGAACAGGATACTGACTGTCCATTTTAATTCACAAAAGGTAAAACAAACATGTTAACACCTCTAATCAATCAATCAAGAACACCAGGCATGGCTGTCATGGCTTCTGATCTTAACTGATTATAAGTTTTAACAGGTACCCATTTTGTCCTGATGAATTAAAATGGGTGATAATGAATATCTCCCATGAACTTACTTGTCAGTTACCTGACCTTGAGCAGTTGGGCATGTCCTCTAGAGGCTGACACTGTATATCTGTCCTGGAGCAGGAGTGGTTAGAGAGTATCTTTGTCAAGTGCCATGAGTTTTTTTTTTTTTTTTTTTTTAAGTTTAAAGGATGAAGTAGCCAAGGCAACTTGGGAGTCAGATCTAGATTCTTGTGAATATGCTCAATTGTAGACCATCTTAGTGGATCTGGTAACCTGACCTGAATGTATTTTTAACCGAGCCCTAACTGCAAGGTTTACTTCTGCTTTTATCAAAATCTGTCTTAACTGATTATAGGTTTTTAACAGGTATGTTTTGTCTTGGCAAATTGAGACAGTCAACACTCAACAGTGTATATCCCATTCATTACCATAAACTTGCTTATGGGTTGTTGCCTAACCTTAAGCAGTTGGTCATGTTCCCTAGGTGCTAACACACTATATCTGCTCAGGTGTGGGAATAGTGAAAGCATCTTGGTTGAGTGTCAAGAGCTTTTTTATTTAATTAAGTTTAAAGGATAAAGCAGCCAAGGATTCTCAATTGTAGACCATCCAAAGAAATTTGGTAACCTGACCTGAAGAGATTTGTAACTGGGCCCTAACTGCAAGGTTATGTACTTCAGTTATCAAAAGCTGTCACCATATCATACATATTTGACTGATGTATGTGCCTGGTATGCTATTATCAAACTGGGTACCATGGTGAGTATATTTTACCCCATCATTATTGGTATACTCTCTGAAGAGAGAAAATTCCTTCATTTTGTCTACCAATTTATCTCCACTCTTAGTCTTTTAAAAGAAACCCTATTAGAGATTTAGTGATTTTTTTTTCACCATTTATCAACCCTTTGCAGGTTATTCAATGTCAAAACATTTCAGATTGTAAAAATATTTTTGTGGGTCTGGTCTGACAGATAGAGGAACACCATCAAAGATGCTATATACAGGATCTTTTCAGATGGCTTACTTGCAGAAAAAGCTGTTCCCTTTCAGACTGAATTAGTCACAACCCAACCATCATGACAAGAACTGGCCAACTTCTGAAAAGACTGTTGACAATGACAATGGTCTATAGAAATAAGGAAAATCATCTCCAGAAGAGACTCATCAACACAGTTGTTTATGGTGTTGTTCAGCTGATTAGAATAACAGAGCTTGATAGCAGAAAATCTTATCTAAACTATTAGTTCGTTCTCTATTCTTCCCCAAATGACTGGCAATACATTGGTTATGGATTTTATTTATGCTAATATCTTTGAGATGAATATTTGTTAATCATTAATTTTTTTACTATTATTTGTTTTATTCAATCTTTCATTAAAAAGAAAAAAGTGATGAACTATTATGTGATTATGTGATATCTATTGAATGTTGGAATGGCTGTAAAGTTCCCCCCCTCACCTTTTATAAGCAAAAAGTTTCACAAATGCACTCTGGAATAATTCTCTTAGTCCAGATCTACCTTGTCTATATGGAAGATCATTGGGTTCACCTGTCTGACCTAGCTTTTCTGCATAGATGCTAATTCCTAGTTCACAAACCTTTGCTTTTTTTTACCTGTAAATTTAATTTACTTATATTGTTTACTTGCTTGCCTGATACCCCTTAATTTTTGCCCCTCTATCTTTCTATTTTAAATATTATTAGTTCTGTTTGTTAGAGTTGTCTTATTTTGAATTTAGACCATGACTTCTATCTTAACATCCTACATAATGGTGGACAATTTTCTTATGGATGAAAAGGAGACATGAAAAAAATAAATATAATTCTACAAAAGGATACTAAGATTGCCATAGGCAAAATGTAAGAAGGAAAACCAAAAGGAAACTTGTAATTAGAATCAGCAAGAGATAGTTGAAATTTTTGAAACACAAGAGCTTAGAGAGAGTGATGCACACAGGACAAAGACAAGAGAGAAACAGCAAATAAATTACCTTACAAGTTCATGTAAATGGATAGCAGGAAAATGTCTGGGAAGGATGTACTGCTTATAAGTACAAAAGAGAGCAAGCTGGAGAAAGTCATGACCACTCACATCTTGAGACACAGCATATAAAATAAATAAATGTTAACCATCTATTTTGTAAAATATTTTTTCATTTTCTTGAACAAAAAACAAAAACAAACGAAAAACTGTAGTTGTTTTCAATTCAGTAGGAATGATTGCAAAACAATTTCCCCTCCCCAATTTATAGGCAAAACACAAAAGTATGCTAGAATTTTTCCTAACCAATAACAGAGGCCACTTCTAGGTCTCAGTTCTGTTCTTAGTTGTCATGAAGCCAGAATGCTACATTTACTTGTCTGTATACACCATTTGTGCATTAACAGCATTCTTAATTTGTGAACCTCTTGTCTTATTGCCCAATATTATTCTCTTGTTATTGCAATCTTTGTTGATTCTGTTTGTTGGGCATTTCTGCCAATTACATTTAATTTAACCTATGGCCAATTACTCTACAATAATGATATCTAAAGATTTTTATTAAATGAAGCACTGTTAACCATTACTTTTTATTAGTATTTTATCTTCACCTTTCAAAGTAACTTTAAAATTAAAAAATTTGAACTATTTCCTTTCCTCAAAAATTTACCAAGGCACTCCTTGCTTAGGCTACTGCCTATATTATTTCAATTTCATTGACTACATTTACTGATTAATATATTACAACTTTTGAAATACTGAAGATTATATGATAAGGAAGCATGCTTAATTTTATTAAGATTACAGTTTTAGTTCATATCAAAATATTTAATGATCGTTCAATTTGTTTAAAAACTGATCCATATTATCATTTGGTAACAAAAGACAAATTCCTTCGTGACAAGGTTGGTTGAATCATCAGATACAAAACTTTAAACAATTCAATTTCTTTAACAATTACAAAAGAAATATTTAAAATCTTTGAACATTCCACTAGACGCATGAATTAGGGCCTTTCCTACATTCAAGGGGAAGGTGTGTGCATTTAAAATAAATAATGTTCTATTAGTAACCAAGGAAATTTTATTCACAATAAGAGATACCCACCCTCAGAGACTATATTTGTGTGTAGTAACTTGCATTCCACCTATTCAGTGAGGCACAGAATGAAGTTTGAGAAAATAAAAAGAATCAAATATCACTGACAGGTAAAACAAATGACAAAGGAATTTCTGGTCAGGACCCAAATATGCCACTTTATGATGACAGCATCACACACACACACACATATATATATATATATATATATATATATATTTATTTACACACACACGTGTGTGTGTGTGTGTGTAAATAGTGGGAAAAGTTTTCATGTGATGTGTTACGTCCTTCAGGACTTCATTGGACTAGGTTTGTTTATGTTGATGTAATTATACATGTGGACAAGCATGGGAATTTTAAGTTTAGAAAAAAAGAATTAAAAAAGAACATTAAATGCATTAATTGCTCACTGGAACCAAACTGACCAAAATTTTGACAGAAATGCTACTAATTAAAAGAAAATGTTTAGAAAGTGCTTTAATCAATAAATTTGCATCCAGATTCTTATGTTTCAATATTCTTGGCAGATATTCAGTTGTCAATGTGGGATATATATTTAATAAGAATGATGGAAGCAATAAGAAGCTAAATTAAATTGGTGAGATTATATATATATATAAAATTTTTTTTCTAAATTTCAAATTTCCTATATGTCTCTTGTATATGTAGTCATATCAATATAAAACTGAGTCCAATGAAATCCTCAAGGACAAAACGCGTCACAAAAACTTTCCACTCATACATTTTTCCTCCAAAATTGAGCTCATATATATATATATATATATATATATATATATTTCTGTTTATTGTATTTTGTCCTTTAAAAACTTGAAACTAATGTAGTATTCTTATTAATGGAATTATCTATATGTAGAAGGAAATTAGAATGTAAATGTAAACATCAGCTATAATTATACACTGAGGGGAAAACACTGAAGATGTACAGACAGTAAATTTTTAATTTAAAAATTTTTTTTTGTCCAACATGTCCAAACAGCTCAGCCAATCTCATTTGTTTTCTCAACACTTGTTTTTATTGCTGCAATTTTCAAATATCATATACAGCAACACGAGAAGTGAGAGGTTCTAGGGGCCTGGATGTAAATTTACTGTAGAAGCAGAGCACTTTCTTTGAGCTCTTGGAGAGGAAATGGGTGATGTTATACACCATGGCTGCTGTTGCTAATGCATTGCTCTTCTACTTGAATTGAGCTCTCCTAGCTAACAACGTTTTTACTAAGCAACATTATTCGCTTAAAACATTAAAATTTCCTTTGCACTCTGTTGTGCAATGATAGCTTGGAGGTAGAATCTCTGACTGATGCCAAATCTGTCAGATTTCAATGTCAGCTTAAGTAGTCTGATTTCTAGCCACACTGATGATACAGTGAAACAGTGTCTGTGGATGACTACATATATATATATATACACACACATACACACACGATGTAAGAGTTTATCTCATAGCATCAAGCAATTTCAATATTTCAATGTCTATAATTGATCAGAAGCTTTGACCAATTTTTAAGGAGCACTACAATACAAAAAAATAAGTTAATTTACTAGCCAGATGGCAATTAAATATGGTACTAGCTAAAACAGCTTAGCAAATAAAGTCAAAACAACTTCAAAGAAATTCCTTAAGTAGCCTGATGAGAATAAATAGAAATAAATTTATTCTGAA